TAAAAACGGATATCCTTTGAAATTTTTAAACAGGTGTAGAAGTCAACTAGCCTCTAAACCTACAATCCATACCGTCCCTAAGAAAAAGGTTTTTATCAAATTACCATATAACGGGGAAATAAACAGTAGGATTGTGAGACAAAGGTTGAATTCAATCATCCGTAGGACCTACTATGCTGCCCAGCTTGTAATTGTGGAAAAAGCCAAAAATATGCTTCACTGTAAACCCCAAAAGTGCACAAGTGATTATATCACATCCCATACAATTTACCAATTTTCGTGTGTGTGTGGACATACATACATAGGGAGGAGTAATCGCGCTTTGCACGTGAGGGTGGGAGAGCATATCCCAAAATGGTTAGAAAAACAGATGAATTGTGACAAGCTAATAGATGCAGGTGGCAGACTACCAAATTCGTCTATAGCTAAACATCTAATCGAGATGAACCATAAGATTGATGTTAACTCAGCCTTTAAGGTCATCTATAAAAACGGTCAAGGGCGTTTATTGAAATACGCAGAGGCTATAGCTATTCATAGACTTAAGCCCCCCTTGTGTATTCAAAAACAGTTTGTCATTACTCTTAACCTACCTTGGTAATCCTTATTTGATTGGATTACCAAACGTTTGTGTTAATTATTCTTAATTCCGTTTTCTCTCACTTTGTTTAATTTAACCTTTCTATATATATTGACTTGACAAGTAAATGTGTGATCAGATTGTTCGAAATGTATAGCGCTAATACATCACATTTTTCAGACAGTCTCCGTCTTCTAATAACGCTATCAAAAAAACAGCAATGCTGTGTCAAGGTCGATCCACGCGTCGGTTCAAACGGCCCGCGAATGCCAAGCAAAGAATAAACAAATATGAACAAACAACTTTCAATAGTAAAGCATACACTATAGGGTAAACGCAGCAAATAATGTTTAAGGAGAAGAAAAATAAGAACTATACATTAATAGAATGATAATAGAACAAGTAATTTAACTGCAGTTGTAAGCAAATGTCATCTTTATAAATTAACATATTAAAATCATACTACTTACTAATGGCAAGTAGTCTAATGTTGAACAAAGGAAAGATTGAGAATGAACAAGTAGGAAAGGAATTAACAACAGATATGTTAATTTCATTCTGCCTAAGAACCCACATGAGTTATCATTCGATGAGACAGTCACCGTTTTATCACAAATCTTTGGTGAACAGTCATCCATGTTTAATATTCGGTATCAATGTTTTCAGTTGACAAAAATGCCTTCCGATGATTATGTGACTTACGCTGGCAAAGTGAACAAGGAATGTGAAAGGTTCAAACCACACGAAATGACATCAGATCAGTTCAAGTGTTTGATTTTTATTTGTGGGTTGAAGGACCCAGAAGATACTGACATACGAACTCGACTTCTGTCACTTGTGGAACAAGACCCGAAAATGACTTTACAAATGGTGACAGCAGAATGCCTACGTTTAATCAACTTGAAGCACGATACTGCTATGGTGGAGTGCAAACGACAGTCGTCTGAATTTGGTTCAATTAACACAGTGAAAAGTCCTCCGATCACCGTTAAGCACACAGCACGTCAGTCTCAGAATTCAGCTAAACCTCCTTCAGTGTGCTGGCACTGTGGTTCGTGGCATTTTGTCAAGTTCTGTCCTTTCAAGAAACATAAATGCCGTAATTGTCACCGTTTTGGACATAAGGAGGGTTACTGTACACCGCAGAAAAATTCTTCGGTGAGGAACAGAAGTAGTCGTTTCAAGCCGAAACAATCTCCTCGAGTACAGACCGTTTTCACTACTTCCAAAGTCGAGTTCGCCAGCAAACGTAAGTACATAACACTAGATATTAACGGCAAACGTATTCGTCTTCAGTTGGATACGGCATCAGATATCACCGTAATTTCCCGAACTACGTGGCGCAAACTTGGTTGCCCACAGATTCTGCCGACCGAGCATGTCGCCAAGAATGTCTCTGGAGATATACTGAAACTCGTGGGTGAGATAAATTGCCAGGTTCAGTTTGGTGAGCATCACTTCAATGGTGTATGTTACGTTACAAACTACCATGATTTGAATTTGCTTGGTCTTGACTGGTTAGACAAGCTCCATATCTTTAATGTACCATTAAATTCAGTATGCTCTAATGTTTCGTCTTCACCACACAACGTTGTTCCCGGAGATGTATCTGATCAATCTCTCTTGCAACGCCGTCGTCAAAAGCACGCTTCTGTCTTCCAGGACAAACTTGGTTGCTGCAAACTGTTTGGCATCCAGCATATTCGTAGCCCCCCGTATCATCCCCAATCGAATGGACAGACTGAACGTTTCGTCGACACCTTTAAGCGTGCTTATGCAAAAGCGAAGGGGGAGGGAACAACAGAAGAAATTTTGGATAAATTCTTGCTGCATTATCGTACGAATGAAAAAGGACAGTTATGTGTCAGACACACAGATCACGCTCTATCCAGTACCACGCAAAGGTCAACTCGACAAAGAAGAGCTCCGAAACCTTTTCAAATAGATCCAAAAAGCAAGTCCTACACTCTTTACGGGGAGAGGTGATAGGATCCCACATATTTTGGTATTGACTGTTTAATCTTGCATATATGGTATGTTATCATTCTCACACATTTTGCTATTGACTGTCAACCTCGCACATATGGTATATTATCATCTCTCACGCACTTTGTTATTGGCTATTAAGATAAATTATTTCAAATGCTGTTAGCTGTCCATTTTGTTGTAAAATGTATAAATACCATGGCTTTCTTTGTCGTTGTTGCACTTCAATACACAGTCACAGTCCAGCCTTTGTCTTTTGATATTTGCGTGCTTTACTAAATCGGAAGGTACGACAAGCAGATAGGCAGATTAGTTCAGGCGCAGACAGAGCAAGGTGAAAACGTCTTCATTTAATTCACTACAGTTATAACACTTAGACACACAGGAGAGAGAACGCAGACACCTATGATCAAAGACAACTAATCTTTTCATGTCTTCCACTCTCAATGGCATGGTCCTGCTCACAGTCATAAAGGAGGACGGAGCGGACTGATAAGCAGTACAAACGCCTTTTGGTCGATAGCCAACCGGATATCACGTCTACGTCAGAGACGGCGTAAACTGTCATATGCGAAACTAGCCCTCTGTATCCGTGCTGAGATTTCGTCAGAGATCAACCCGTTGGCGTTGGCTGATGGTACTTCCCAAATAAGTGAGGCGGTCAACGTGCTCTACAACTTCACTCGCTATTTCTAATCTAGAAGTCAGTGTGGTCCAGTCCTGTACCATCATCTTACATTTAGTGGGAGCGAATCGCATGTCAAACATTCGTAGATTGAAGCTCAAGGTGTTCAGGAGACTCTGCTCTATTTTGTCAGCGTTCTCGCCTAGAAGGACTATATCACTGTCTACATATTCTAAGTCAACGAGATTATTCCCTGGTAACAGCAAGTCAATCCCTGAGTCTCACCTAGCTGACTGCATGAATTCAAGTAGTGAGTGAGTGAGTGCCTTGATCAGTGCAATGTTTTTTCTCAGCATTCCTTTTACAGCCAAGCATCGCCAGAGTACCTCTCGGTCGACAGAATCGAATGCCACGCCTTTAGGTCAAGAAATATAGCAATTGATGGACTGTGTTGTACTTCTGTGCAAAGTTCCGTGTTGAAATCAATCAGTTAGTCAGGCAACTAAAGAAGAAAATGTGAATTCGTTCCGAAGAAAGCCTCTTCATCGTTAATGCGCCTAAATGAGGGTTATTCAAAAGATAAACAATGACATATTTATCAAATTTATTTATTTTTAAAATATCTATGAATATACTTTAAGAAATATGTATATAAAATTGTAAGTAAATGAATACCATTCAGCCAAAGACTGACTGACCGACTGATAGGCAGGCGTCGGGGCGGGGCAAAAAGATACAGGGAGGGAAAGAGAGAGAGAGAGACAGCGCGCACTTTTCAAATCAAATAACTCAGAACAAGTGAAAATAGAAGGTTGATAAAACAAGCGTTGTTGGTAATAATAGAGACAAATAAAAACTTATTACCAAAAACAAATACACGCGATAATAAATGCATTCCCTCATTGAGAGCAGATGATCGATAATGGTTGCAGTAATATACAAGAGAAATATAAGCATTGTAATAAAAGTAATATACATTTTGAACATACAGCTGAGAAAAAAATGCTTCGACGGTTTATTTTTATAAATTTTTTTCAAAGATAAATACTGTTAATAATAATAATAATCATATCAGTAGTAAATGAATCAATAAATAAAAAAGGCGATAGAGAGTTAAATGGTTCAACGGGATGTTGTTTTATTGAATGTGTTCAATGTTCAACTATTATAAGCGGTCTTTTCAAACCTAACTTTTTACCACTGAGGCAATAAATAATAAATTTCACGAAATAACAATTGTTTTATTTAGCATATAAACTGTTGTGTATTATTTATTTTTGTTTGTTTCAACTACATTGGACAGTGATGATGAAATTTACAGGATACAATATCGGCAAGTGACAGGAGAATTGGTGAAAAAAAAGTGCCTAAATCTTTTTGGAGATACACAAATATAGACAAAAAGAACAAAAGGAACACCTTTATCCTAATTAGTGTTTTATGCGTAGAAGATTATCGGGGAAAAGATACATAAGAAACTGTACAAAACTGTATTCACTACATATAGTGACAGTTGGTGAGAGGGGTAGGGCAGGTGAGGACTGGTCTACCATTTTGTGGTATCGATAATAGCAAATAACTGGTGTGTGTGTGAGAGAGAGCCTATGTGGCAGTAACAGCAGTTTTACAAAATGATAAATAAGGCTAAAAGAGAGGAGAAGAGACGAGTACAGAGCAGCAATACAAAACAGACAAATAATCATTAAAAAAAACGACGACTTCAATAGAATAAAGGCCACTTAACTTTGTTTTTGGTGATGTAAAGAGGAGAGAGCTGAAGAAGTTTATAAATTTCACCTGATGGACAGATCACGGTTTACCAAGATTGGCAGTATTATTATTATTATTGTTATTGTTAATCAATAATGGTGATTGAATTGTCGGTTCACCAGTCAGTTTCTTTTGACCTGCCTAAATAAAAATACATAGAAGAGAAGAAAAAACGGAAGTAAGGGAAATTCTCCAACCAACCAATCAAACAAAACTAATGCTTGAAACAGTGACCTGATACTCACTAGCAACTAGCCCTATTCAGTCAGTTAATCTGGGGTTCTAAAGGGAAGCCGTGACCAATGGGGTGCAGCAGGTTGAAGGTGAGGCATCGAAGAAGACATTGTGAAGTGGTCACGCTATGTCATGCATGAATTGTGGCAGAAGTTATAATTCATGGGTTGGCCATTGGATTGGCGGGTCCCAGTGGCTTAGTGGTCTACGAGCTCACTCACTAGCCTTTTAATCAGAAGGTCCTGGGTTCGAACCCCTGTGATAGGTGCGTACCACTGAAGAGTCCCAGTACTCCCAGTTGGTTTTCCCAATGGTTCTCTAACTGATGTCAGCCTGTGCGTGATTAAATCCTCCAACCAATCAAATAAAGGAATATTAACTGCGTAATCTCAGGTATGTGTTTGTTTGTCTGTTTGTTCAGGGTGATATATATTCGTCAAATATTTAACTAAAGTAGATATTTCCCGTAACAACGCTAAGAGGGATATTCTCTAGACGTCTAGTGTTTTTAAGCAATGTGAACAGTGAACTTCGACATATGATCACTTCAATGTGCTCCTGTAGAAAGCTAGGTAAATAGATTTGCTCTGTGGGTGTTCCTTCAAAATGTCTTAAAGAACACTATCCAATATGGCTGCAAAGAGGTTGCACTGGTTTAGTCAGAAGCGCCAGTAGTTGAACACCTGTCACAGCATCTCAACTGACTATTACTAATCATTGAGAAACATTTACAAAATGGACACAAATCTACCAAAGACAGTGTATGATTTAAAACTTCTTTGTACTGTTACTGTTACTGTAACAACACAAGACAAGAGCCAGTAGGCCACGGGTTTGAACCCCTGTGGTGGGTGGATCCGTATTGATGAAGAGTCTCAAACCAGGACGAAACAGCTCTCCAGTACTCTATGAAAAAATAATATTAACCAACAAATAATAAAAAGAGAATAAAAATGAATGAATGATTAAATTACCTGTTGTCTAGCTAAATCATTCAATAATGGATTTGGTCTACCTGAGATACCTAATTGTGCTAAATGAATTAAATCACAGCCTTGTTCAGGTAATGAACTTGCATCTGACTCATCACATGTCCCATCATTACTACGTACATCGATACCAATATCACTTGAATTATGATGATGATGATGTTGTTGATCTAATGTCTTTGATGATGATAATCCTAGCAGATGAGTATTCAATTGTTGTGATTCTGGTTGTGATAAGTATTGTGGCTTATTAGTATTATTGTTATTCATGTTATTGGTGTTACTCATTGTTCGATTAGCCAAAGATGATGGATGACAAATATCATCTCGTCGAAATGCAGACAGACTGAAATCACTTCCAACATCATCTAGATCACCTAATAATGGATGAGTACTCCCACCGGAACCTCCGCCACCGCCGATCTATATACATACAAGAGTCAAAGAAAATATAATAAAGATTTTTCAAATGTTGAAGCTTCCTTCATTAAACGCGTAAAATCTGATTTCATTAATTAGATAGCGAAAACCAAATGTTAGTGAAGTTTAATTGAATTTTTAAATTTTCCCGTCGATTGATTCGACCGAAGTGTTCGGTCTCAGGTTGACATGTTGGCTTCTTGTGCAGATGCTTCGACGATGTCTGGTCATTTGATTAAAGTTTAATCGGTGGATGTTGACTAGTAGTGGAATCCAGGATGCGTATTTCGTCCAATTTTGGGACTCGTCAGCTGGATGTGCCTGCATTTCTCAGCGAGTGATGATGTTCCCACTGAGGCTCGAACCTAGTGCCCATAGTTTCAAACGTCAAAGAGTTATCCACTAGACCACCTGGGCCACTGGGTTTGAGCCTCGGTGGGAACATCACCACTCACCGAGAAATTCAGGTACATCCAGATGACGAGTCCCAAATAGTACGAAATGCGCTTTAGCCTGGATTCCACTGCTGGTCACCATCCACCAATTAAATGTTAGTGAAATTAAAATATGATTTATGTTTAATTCAATTTTCTATCTTCCCGCTGATTGATTGGATCGGTGTGTTCAGGTTATGTAACACACCCCCTCACTCCCCCAAGTGGTCTAGTGGATAACACGCTTTGGCATTCGAAACGATGAGTACTCAGTGGTAACGACATCACTCACTCATTCACTCATTGTGGGGGGAATACAAGTACATATGTAACGACAGAATACAAAGGCTAAGCAACCGACTGTTTAGTGAGAAAATCAAGAGTGATGATATATAGATTTCTATGTACAATATTGTCAGCGGAGAAGTAACATCTTCTGGCTGGTTTATTTCCTGCTGAAGGCTATTATGTATTGATTGTGACCGTTTCTCAGAAAGGTAAGCCACATATCTGCGATTCGTATTTGGGCACGTTAAGTCCGCTGTGATTGGTTAGTGAGTTCCTCAAGGCTAAGCTTTGTTATTGTTTTTCTCATGACCCTCATTCGGGAAGTGGACGTTGACGTAAATTACTGTCACCCATCTATCTAGTTGACATAAGTCCTGAACAAACGACGAAATAGGCATCTTGGTGGAATGATTCCACTTCAGCTAGTCACCATCCATGAGATTATATCAAGTCCAAATATAGTTTAAGTCCTTTGTTTGTCTGGTGTCTGTTTTCGAAATAGAACTTTGCACCGAAGTTTACCAGTTCAAGTCGCCACACTCCCTCCTTGTAGCACACAAAGCAACAGAAGAAAGTAGAAGAAATGCATAATAGATACAGTAAACAGAGGTGTGAGACAAAGGAATAGTAATAACGAAGAACAATATGGTTTTATTGGATATTAGAAGTCACAAGGAGTGTATTCATCTCCGCCACTGAGAACAATTTTGAGCGATATCACCCATTGTTTCCAGCCTTCATTGGTTTCTACCGTCCCGAGGACCCCAATCAGGAAGTCTGCACCTTCCTACGTGGCTTAAACTAACTGGTGACATGTTTTGGTCTGACCGCCTCTAGCTCATTTCCAGCCTGACCCTATGTCGGCTAACACTGCCCATTGCCGAGGAAGGCGATGACTAGGCGGGTATGAGTAACACATGTCCTAACCATTTCTCTCAGTCGATGTAATTTCACGGCCTCGTCGATTGATTTCCCCTCCCACTTACCTAGCACTCGACCGAAGCCTAACCTCAATATTGTTCACCTTATTGTACCACCACTTCACACAGGAGATGGAGCGCAGGCACCTATGATCGGAGACAGCTAATCTTTTCATTTCTCACAGCCAAAGAAGGAAGTGTGTGTGTGTTTCACATCCAGGATTCAAATCGCGGCACCCTACGACGTGTGATACAGAAAAATAACATCAAAAGTCAAAAACCAACTTACCATATGTCCACTTGGAAGAGGAGGGCCAGCAGGAGGCGGATAAAGCATTGACGATGATAACGACGATGTAGAATTCTCTTGATTATTATTAGCAGGAGCGGCAGTATTTCCACTCCATACTGGATAGGTTGGATTAAAATGTGATGATTGATGATGATGATTCCCTGCATTGCTTGCTTTCGATTGTAGATAAGTTGATTGGTTAGGCATAAAAGTCATTGTATACGGAGTGAATAGATTTCCACCAATTTGATTAGGATTATTATTACTACTGTTATTTTGATTGATAGTAGTATGTGGATGAGTAAAACTCATTATTCCATTGCCTTCATCTAAACTCAACTTTTCTTCATCATCACCACCACCACCAACAGCACAGCCGCCTCTTCGTGGAATATATCCACCGCCAGTAAAACAACCATTTATACTACTGTCATTACCGGCTAAAGAATCAATTGATGTAGGCACCAACAGGGTACCGTGTTGATGATATATATGCTGTTGTGTTGGCTCTGTTGACGAGGATAAATGCGATGGATATTGTGGATGGTGTTGAGGTAACAACTGCTGTTGTTGTTGTTGAGCTTGTTGTTGGTGTTGGTGAGGATGTAGAGGATTCATTTGACTATTCATCTCTGAGTAATCATCTGTGGCCACCTCTTCATAAGGATGTTGATAATACGATTCAAAGTTATCTAAAGATTAACACACAAAAATTTATTTGTATGATTTAAAGATAAAATAACAATATGATCGTAATAATAATAATAATTTCAATATATTAAATATTCCCATAGATGAACCAGACGGAATACACCCTGAAGCACTGAAAGCGGACCCAGAGACGACAGCAAATATGCTGACTGACTCCATTATTGCAATTGGTCTGGAAGGAGGGAAAGGTGCCTACTGACTGAAGGAAAGGTTACTTTGTGAAACTACCAAAGAAGGGCGACTTAGGACTCTCTCTCTCTCTCTCTGCAAGAACTGGCGAGGAATCATACTCCTGTTGACACCAAATAAAATTCTGAATAAACGACAAACTGGATACAGAATTCCGACCAGAACAAACTGGATTCAGGAAAGTCAGGCAAATCATGTTCTGACCAAATTGCAACTCTACGCATCATCATCACAGAACAAAGCATGGAATGGCAATCAAACCTCTACTTCAACTAATACACTTTGAGAAGGCCTTCGACAGCGTTGACCGCGAAGTAATTTGGAAACTACTCGAATACTACGGCGTACCCCAAATATTCATTAACCTTATTCAACAGCTGTACGACAACGGGACATGTCAAGTGATCCACAACGGAAAACTCAGCAAGGCGTTTGGAGTAAACACAGGAGTCAGAAAAGGGTGGTTATTATCACCAATGATATTCCTAATTGTGGTCGACTGGATTATGCGACAGACAGTGAATGGGAAACGAGAAGACAGGGATATCCTGGACTGACTGACGTGAAGAACCTAGAAAACCTGGATTTCGCGCGTGGATGATTAATGTTTGATGTTACACAAAATCGAAGACTTATAAGGGAAAACCGGCCGACAAACTGGTTGAAGAAGAAGCAACTGGCGAAGACAGGACTCCAGGTGAACATAGACAAGACGGAGGTTTTGAAAGTAACCAACCAACCAACAACAACAGCAACATCCAACGGTAGGGATTCGAAAGAGGTCACTTCATTCACTTATCTAGCTAGGCAGCATTGTCTCAACTACAGCCAGTCGGAATGGACGAGGATATCAAATCGAGCGAGAATCAGGAAGGCGAGAAATACATTCGTCTTCCAGTGTTTGTGGGTAATCAGACATATATCACACCGTCGAAATCCAGATCCTCCAAGTTTTCGTGTGGGTCCATTTTATGCCTGTCTTCTCGTTGTCCGCTCTCTGTCTGTCACATTATCCAGTATACCGCAATCAGCAAAATCATTGGCGATAGTGGGCAGCCAGCTTGTCCTACTCCCGTCTTCACTTTTTCAAAGGATTCCGTGAGTTTCCCGTTGTAGATTACTTGGCGTGCAGCATTATCGTACAACTGTTGAGTGAGGTGTATAATTGTTTGTTGCACCCCGTAGTAGCAAAGTAGTTTCCAAATCACCTCTCGATCGACAATGTCTCCTAAAGGCTTTTTTAAAGTTGAAGAAGTTGAGATAGAGAGGTGACTGCCATTGCAAGCTGTGTTCAATGATGATCCCTAGTGTTGCGATCTGATCGATGCATGACTTGTTCCTCCTGAATCCAGCCTGTTCCAGTTGAAGTTTTTCATCCAGGTTGGCGTGTTTGATTCTCTCCAGGATGATGCGGCTTAGAGATTTTGCTTGGGATAGACAGGAGCATAATGCCGCGCCACTTTTTCTATATAGCTGAGGAAACTGGCGCGTGAGTTGTGAAAAGCATTTCCAACACGCCACCGCTGACTTTTTAATCGACAGCTACCCTCAATGACTCCACTATGAAGATTAAGTGACTGGACAGAAGGGAGGATTATCAACACAAGGAACTCTGCAGGTAATGAATCAACCAACAATCTCTCTGCCGCGCAAAATGTATGCAGAATAAAATGGAGACGTATTGGATATGCACTGTGGAGACCCTTGGATGACATCAAATGCCAGGAAGGTGGTTTTGTGGATCTAGATTACGAAACGACAAATTTGGCGTGGATTTGAGGTAGACATAAAGGGTGATGAGTGAAGACAAGGATGAGACAAGGCAGACTCCCCACTATCACCTACGGTGATATTCTTGATTGTGGTGGACTGGATAGAGAGGTAAACCGTGCTTGGGGAGAGAGCAGACGGCTACAGGATGAACCGACAAGAAGACTCTAAAAGATTTGACCTTCTCTAGGGTTTTGTGTCTAAATGTCATAAAGACTCGAAGGTCTCTACAGGCAAAAGTCAACAAGTTGGCAGAAGAAGCAGACAGGAATTCAAGTAAATACTACGCAGAGAAGACAACAACCATCAATCAATATCACAAAAGAATAAATTTGAAAACAGGCCACTTTCTTTACTTTATCTGGTCTATGTCCTTTCAACCAGAGGTAGTCAGCACGGAAGACGATGTCAAAACTAACCAAAATCAGAAAGGCAAGAAAGGCCTTCATCACTCTGAAATCAATTTGGAAATCTTCTCCACTTCGCCGCCTCAGTATAAAGAACAAAATTCACATCTCCAACACTAATGTTGGAGAGTGAGTCAGTTCTTCTATATCGATTCAGAGATTTGATGAGCCACTAAAAGCACTTCCAACAGACTACTACATACCGGTCAGGAAGAATTGCCAACGCAAAGGAATGTCCAGTAGCCTAGACAGAATGGGATTCGAACGCGAGACACGTCTTGTCTGTATGTCGAATATTTAAGCCTATATATATAAGCCGTTTTTTCCGCTACAATGATTAATGATGACCCTACCCTGATAAATTAGTCAGGAAATATGTAAGGAAATGTAAAAATAAAATAAATAATGATAGTAGAGATAGTGATAATAATAATATTAATGACGACACCAACAATAAGGAATCTAAATCATCAGTAGTAATTCCATACAAGGAAGGAACCTCGGAGAACACTTTACACTGAATTCTTAACAAGACAGGCAGGAATAAAAGTGGCTGGCATTAAAACCAACCGCAAACTAAATTAGAAACAAGCTTTGTCGGTTAAAGGACCAATCCTGTCTGCAATGATTGTCAGGTCAAATAGCACATAGGTCAACCTAGTAGAACAGGGGCAGTCAGTCAGACTAGCCGAACATAAAAACCTAGCAGCGAAATCTAGACTTGTTGATCCGAATAAAATAAGAAATCTGCAGAATAGTTCAGCTATAGCAGTACACCACATGGAATCACACACAACCCTACAATAGGCTGAATGGGAGAGGATGACAGTTTTATAATCTAATGTCACAGGGTGGAGGGAGAGAGAGATTCATAACAGAAGCTTTGTTTATCGAATCAACAGCAAATCAACACGTGTAATGGGAATGATTCAACAGCCGTCCATTCGGATATCTGGAAAATTCTACTACCCCAACGATGACAAATAGGAGAAGACAAAGAAAACTATAGAATTCAAGTTTCAAAGTCGCGTGATTGTAATTGATGAAATGATTATGAACCGCAATAAATTTTATTCGAAACTGTGTCATCCAGTAAATAATAATACTGTTTCACTGTGTGACTGTGTGATACATCGAATAAACAAACTAATATGGAATTACTTACTACCACAGTAGCCAAGTTTTACACATAGATTAATAATGATAGCCAAGCCACCACAACAAGGATCACTTACCTTGTATATTATGACCATGATTTTGAGTGTTAGTCATCATGTTATACTCCATTTGATGATTTGACTCATATACAGGTCTATAATTGGGTATATTGATATTACGATTCAAAATTTGTGGTGAAGTGAACAGTTGAAGAGAGTTGGCGGGTTGTTTATCATTACGAATCGGGGGGTTTGGTTGTTGTTGGTGGGAATCTAATGATTGACCATATGCATGTTGTACAATATTGGATGGATAATTACCACTACTACTGTTATTGTTATTAGTAGTAGGATACGTTTGTAGTAGTTTATTATTATTATTATTATTATTGACTAAACTTTGTTGTTCATTTGTATTCAAGCCAGAGGAGGTATGCAACATAAGCGCATCAGCTTCAGGTTCACTGTGTTGACCAGTAAATTCTTCTGTAAGTACGCGCGCGCACACACAAACACACACACACAGACAAAGAGTCACCGAGAGATGAAACAAAAACCCAGGAAATATTTCATTAGTACACACACACACATGTAAATTTATTAAAGTAATACGAAACATGTTACGTAATCGTCATCTAAAACATCTGTGACAGTGTGCGTTATTACTATTATTATTGTCCCCTTGAGTTCCGAGTGGAACAACCCTGGGCTTCAACAACACTTATCCATTTTGTTCAACTTTCTGAGGTCCTTTTTAGCTGGCTAGCTCCACACGATTGCTTATAATCTCTTATCTCCTTCATGTCACTACCCCCGAAGTGACGCCCTACTCGTCGTTTCCCTTTCGGGTTTCACTCGGATGATATCAACCAACGGTCTCCGCGCAACGTGTATCGAACACATCTCCACTTTCTTCGTCATATTTGCTTGTTCAGTAATGGGAATTTCTAGGTTGGTTCGTTTCTAGAGTTTCTTGTCGCTGATTCTTTCTGGCCCGTTGGCCAGCCATCCGATATTCCCCCCCCTACGGAGCCAGTGAATTGGAAAGTTGTAGATAAAAGTCTGCAGTGCCCTGTTAGAAATGCTTTTCGTGACACGTTAGCTAAGTTTCTGACCCATATAGAGAAGAACTGACTGATTTAACATTGATGTTGAAAGGCTCAATTATTAGATGACTGGAGGAAATTGCCAAGAGGAAGCCTTGTCCAGACGTAGGCTTCGTGCTAGTTGGCACTCACTTGTGGTCAGCAATGCGTATCTGCAACCTTGAAGGGATTCATGTCTCTTCTCAGATTCGAACCCGTGTCACCCAGTGAGTACTGTAGTCATAGACGCTATCACTGAGGTATTCGGGCTAGTGTCTAATCAAAGTAACCAATACACTCTTACGGGAGGTTAATGTCTGCGATTGTAGTACTGGGTGACACGGGTTCGAATCTGAGAAGAGACATGAGTTCCCTCAAGGTTGTAGATACGCCTTGCTGACCACCAGCGAGTGCCAACTAGCACGAAATCTAGGTCTAGGCAAGGCTTCCTTCCGATTGCCTCCAACTATCAAATATCATCAAATCAATGTGTGCACCGCGTAATAGCGAGCTACCCTAATAGCATGGTGGCCATATTACAAACTTGACTGACTGATAGAATTCAGTCTGTACCGAACAACCAAAGGACTAGACACATCACACTAGTTACAAGTATCCCATCAGAAATCCACTTTTGTCCCTCATGTTGAGTTCAACAGTAGATTTTACAAAATGATTTCAGAGTAATGATATCGACTTCTAGTACGTACAATTTGACGATTTCTGAGAATTAACTAGAATGGATACTGAACAAAGAGTACTCTTTTCGATAACCTCTTCATCATCAGGCACTACAGTTAGTTATATGTACATTATAATGAATTAATGAATGAATTAGTGTTATGAACAACATTAATGACGCTGTTTAAATAACATCGAATCAACAATATTGATAGATTACAGCTCAACGACAGCATCAACTTAAAATAATAAGCTGAATGTCAGAAAAATTAGGAGAGATAGTATTAGAAGTTCATGAATTTATCGTCTTTTCTGAAGGCTGGCCAGGGCAGTAGTAGTGGCTGGCTGGAGTCGTTTCTTTTGAACACAGAGCACTGGTTGTTTGAGGCAAATTGCAATAGCCTCTGCTGTTTGGAGCATACGGTGCTTCGATGATGATTTGGACAGTTTATTAGGCACCCGGTAGAAGATGATAGAGAAGGATTCTTCTACGCTGGCTTTGTATCCGGTTTAAACCAGATGGTCCAATATCGAACTGTTGATAGTTTTCACTACACCTTTACTTAGCCATTGTGGGAGATGTTCTCGAGCATGAAAAGTTATATTGGCCGTTGCTCTAGAAACTTGATTTTCGATGCTCACTCGAGAACATCTCCCACAATGGCTAAGTAAAAGTGTAGTGAAAACCATCATCAACAGTTCGATATTGGACCATCTGGTGCAAACCGGCGGCCCACAAAGCCAGCCAGCGTGGAAGAGTCCTTCTCTATCATCATCTACCGGGTGCCTAATAAACTGCCAAAATCATCATCGAAGCACCGTATGCTCCAAACAGCAGAGGCTATTGCAATTTGCCTCAAACAACCAGTGCTCTGTGTTCAAAAGAAACGACTCCAGCCAGCCACTACTACTGCCCTGGCCAGCCTTCAGAAAAGACGATAAATTCATGAACTTCTAATACTATCTCTCCTAATTTTTCTGACATTCAGCTTATTATTTTAAGTTGATGCTGTCGTTGAGCTGTAATCTATCAATATTGTTGATTCGATGTTATTTAAACAGCGTCATTAATGTTGTTCATAACACTAATTCATTCATTAATTCATTATAATGTACATATAACTAACTGTAGTGCCTGATGATGAAGAGGTTATCGAAAAGAGTACTCTTTGTTCAGTATCCATTCTTTTGAAAACAACTTTAATGGGCCTTTTTTAATCAAATTAACTGGAAGTAATTTCGGTAGATGGTTATCAGTGCACGAGGAATCCACGCGGATGCGCATTTCATCTCCTTTATTTAGGACTTGTGTCAGTTGGATGTACTTGCACTCCCCCAATGAGTGATAGTGTTCGCATGCCTTGGCATCTGAAATGATGTCTACTGAGGAATGCAGGAGGTACATGCATGCAGATGACACGAAACAAATCCTAAATAAAAGAACGAAATGAGTATCCTTGTGGATTCCACTGCTAACTATCCATCCACACCCAGAATCCTTAATTGATGAAGCCTTTTCGAGTGACACCCTCTAGAAATGAACTTATCCGACAAATTTTACTAATGAAGAAAAGAAACACTATCATCTAACCTGAGCTAAATTTCGATGAATTGTTTACCGCACCATAACGCTGTTGCTGTTGTTGCTGTCTCATAGATAGAGATTGTGGTTGAATAATATTCATATTATTATTGAGTGAAGAGGAACACGATGAAGATGATGTTGTCCGGTTATTATTATTATTATTACTATTACGCATAGCTATAAGATTGACTGGATTATTTAATGAATTAACAGGAGTACCAATAGCACTAGTAGGTGGACCAGTAGTTAGCGTTGATCCACAACTACCACTTCCACCCCCACCGCCTCCACCACCAGACCGGGATGTTTTCGAGGAACTTAACGATGAATTCGTTGAATTCGATTGTTGTTGATGTTGCAGTTGTTGTGGTTGTTGATGTGATAGATTTTGTGGATTTGTGAAATAATAAGGCGTTGATTTCAAGTCTTGACATTGAGGATTTAATAATCGATTTGGATAGGGTGGAAGAGACTGCGGTGATGTAGTAGTCATTGACAGTGATTGGATAAAATGTTTCGATTGTGTACTCCTGTTATGACTATTACCGTCATCATCATCATCAGCATTATTATCTTTAGGATGATTGGAGTTTTTAGTTGTTTGACATTCTTCACAACCTGATTCATTGCATTCAATTTCTTCCCATTCCCCTTCAGAATCTAAATAGGATTTACGATGACTATTATGAGTACTGTCACCAATTGCTGATTCAGTTTTAATATCTTCATAAGATGGAAAAAAAATTGGAGAGAATACAACAGGTTTAATGTAAAGCAATCAACCAAAATTACCAATATATTACCACAAGAACCAAATTTTTTAAAATTATTTTTGATTATAGCTTGATTCCACATCGCATTCTCCATTATGGATCATAGCAAGCTACTCAAACAACTTTCTTTCTTCATTTATATACATGTGTGGAACTGATGATTAGATATCTGAATAAAAATCAATATGGGACAATGTACATTCAGAAATTGTAATAATAATATGAGGTTTATTGATCAAATCCAATCAGTTGGGAAATAAGACGAGTGTTTTTATAGTCAAAATAAATAAGTAACTTGTTAGAATGTTGTGATGTGTTTGAATTGAAATAGAATTTTAAGATTATTTATTATCCTCCTCTGATTTGACTGACTGGTGGTAATAATATCTTCCATATCTCTGGTATTTGCGTGGAGTCATTTCTGTTGCATATGTTGTGCTGGGTGTAGAGTAGACGAACTAGGATTCAGTTATCAACCTCTCTCTCTCTCTCACTCCACCTACCTATATTACTTTTTAGAATTTTAACCCTCTCCCACCATCCTATTGTGTGGTTGTGTGTCAATGCATACAGTGCAATGTAGTAGTGAGCTTTTTTCTAAGTGACTCATCTTCTCGGGGTCAACCATTCTTACCTTAGCTAAATGCTTACGTTCTGACAATCTGACTACCGCAACCCGATCTACTAGTTTGACCTATGCTACTGACCTCACAGTCATTGCAGGTTATTTTATAAATTATATTATTTTGTCTGATTGAGTCAAAAGGGTTCTTTAACCTACAGAGCTTGTCCTACCTGAATGAGTTTGTAGGTTTGAATGCCACCCTTATTCCTGCTTTATTGAGCATCCTACGTAGGGGCTTGTCTCAGATGTCCCCTCTTTATATGGTATAACTGTAGATGACTTATATTCTCTCTTATTTATGTTATCATAACTAGTTTCACAATTATTTTTATTTTGTTTTTGGACTTTACTGATCTTCCTAATGAATTTTATAGGATAGTTAGTTAGTTAACATCAACGCTTCTTCTATATGTTTAGGAAAAACCTCAGCAATTGCATCACATGCATTAACGCACAACCACACAATAGGGTGGGTAGGAGAGGGTTAAAATTCTAAAAAGTAATATAGGTAGGTGGAGATAGAGAGAGGTTGATTACTGAATGCTGCCTGGTACATCGAGTCTACACCCAACACAACACATGCAACAGATATGACTCAATGCAAATACCAGAAATATGGCAGATATTATTACCACCAGTCAGTCAGTCAAATCAGAGGGGGATAATAAATAATCTTAAAACTCTATTTCATTTCATGTACATCATCACAACATTCTAACAAGTTATTTATTATTTTGAATTATAAGAAGTCGTTATCACGTACAGTTCGCTTACATCTCCTACACATAGCTGAAGCTGTTGCAATAAGATCGACTAAACCGGAACTGTGTATCCAAAAGGAACACGTCCAGACGCTGTTCCTACCGTGGCCAACCTTGGATTGAAGATTTTTCTTCTCACCAAGAGTGCTCCTTCCCCTTAAGCCTCTTGGTTTTTTTTTCTTTTTAATTTGCTTATTATTATAAATATTATTATTACAGTTATTATTATTATTCGTCATAATTTATGCCCTTTATGCAAACATTCCCTCAATACTATCAAATTTTCATTTGTGCGGATTTATTATCAGTGATATTATCTCTTTTCTCAATATATACCTCCACCTGTTTCATTTAATATATTCGTTATCTCATTATGAACCAAATCTCATTCCAGTCTTACTATATCCTGCTTAACTCAGACCACTTTGTACTAGCCACTCACTCACCTGACACCTTTTATAACCTTGAACTGATTTGTCAATTTTCCTACCCCACACTCTACAATTCTATTATGATTAATCACTACCACCATTGTCTCCCGTTTTACAATATTTTCTAATCGATTTCAGCCTAGCACGTTTGTCACACAAATATGACTATTTATTTTGACACCCCATAACTACTAATCTGTTATTCTACGTTAAAAAATGTATCCGCCGCATACCTGGCTATCTTTATTGTAACGACCACAAATATTATTGTAATTGTTTTATAATTGTAAGAACCTGAAGAGGAGAAAGTATTGTGAAAGAAGAATATTCTGCTCGTTCAGATTGACTTTTAATCATTCATGCAATATGGGAATATTTCACACTATCAAAACTTATTATTTTGACTATAAAAACACTCGTTTTATTTCCCATCTGATTGTATTTGATCAGTTACACTCATATTATTATTCCTGAATGTACATCTTCTCATAGTGAATTTTATTCTAATATCTAATCGATTCCACACATGTATACAAATGAAGGAAAAAAGTTGTGTGAGTGAGTAACTTGATATGATTATGAGTGGCAATAGTTTGTGCTCGAAATGTGGTCATCAGTTAATATTACTGTATAACAACACTGTGTGATTTACCAAAATAAAATCTTATCCATAATGGAATTATACTCTACCACAGTGCCCAAGTTTTATACTTATATCAAAACGGCGAATGTTGCTATATTTTGCTTTACGTCATGATCGAAATGGTTACGAAGAGTTGGCTAGAGACTCGCGCTGATCACAACTACTTCTTGACTGCGCCAACAATAACATTATACAACAGTTACCTGTTGTTTCCCAGCCCGCATTGCTTAAACCAGAACACACAGTAATAATGTATGTTTCAAAATATCACCAATGATGTGTCAGTTAGCCTATAAAATAATGATCAATAAAATAGTGGGCGTTATTCTACTGAGGCTAAATTCTGATTGGTTTATTTCCAGACTGGATATTGATCATTTAAGTTGGGCAATCCTGATTGGTTTATTTTCAGAATGGACCATATCAGAAATAATGACAGTTTATAGAAGTTTATTTTTCACATAACCATTGAGAGCGGCATGACGGGCATACACTGTAACCAACAAGAAGACTGTAGAGAACCTAAACCTCACAAATGATTTTTGTCTAATATCTCACAAACTCGAAGGTCTGTAGGCGAAAACTGACAATCTGGCAGAAGTGCGCGGCGAAGACAGGACACAGAGGAAACTGTGGGTACAGTTATATTAACTGTTAACAGTTAATATAACTGTACAACACTGTGTAACACTATCGAAATAAAATCTTATCCATAATGGAGTTATGCTCTGCCACCACAGTGCCCAGGTTTTATACTTATAACACATAGTGACACACTCATGAAGACTATAGTTCATTATAAGATTGAAAACTTGCTTAGCGATAACACTTACTTGTCTTAGACGAGATAGTCAAACCAGTTGCTTTCAACAGACTAAATTCATCAGTTTGTTGGCCAACATTACACAGAATTGTCGGAGCTGGTGGAAGTGGACTACTACTACTTCTACGTGAACCAGATGTTGTATAATCATCTTCATCTGTTATACTACGTGTTCTTGAACGTCGACGATGATGTGAGACTGTCAGTCCAGAGGATGAAGAAGAAGCTTCCGAAACAGCCGAACTACAATTATTACTATTATTATTATTATTGTTTGTATTAGATGATTCACCGGGATGACGAATAACTGTTCCATGTGTTTCTTGATCAGATTCACCATGTCGTCTATGCGTATGATGATGTTTACGATATCGACAATGTCGACGATGATGATGATGTTTACGACTGTGGCGACGAGAGGATCCCCCCCTTTGATGCTGTATAATGAGGAGAAAAAGAAAAGTAAGAAATATGTATGGGTAATCATTTACACAATTTATTCGTAAAATTTTGTTCTTACTAGTGAGTAACGAACTACAAGATGAACTTGTCTGAAGTTACTGGCTAGCGGTGGTAGAATTTAAGAGTTATAAGCTATTAGCTTCCATTCTAGTGGTTTAATGGTATGCAAGTTCGCCTGAGTTCAGTCCCTGATGAGTGTATGTGTGTGTGTGCTGCTTACTGAAGTGTCCCAAACGAGGAAGAAGCATCTGTCCAATGCTCTCTGGTTTTCACTGATTCTATAACTGAAGTTGGTTGAAGTTGGTTCACTTACATGAAGACTGGAAGGTATCATTTTGATGCCGATCAATTGGGTCAATAGTAATTTTAATCGGGGTGAATTTGACAGCCTCACCCCACCCAACCTTCCCTTACTATCAGGCTTACTACTAACGAAGCGAAATTTAAGAGTAATTGCGTGTGTGCATCTGTCGGGGATCGAACTCCCTGACCACATGAAGTGTGTTTTAGTAAGTGTTCAAACTGTGAACCACCAACACGTGCTTAGGAGGAGATATGGACTCAATCGTGGTAGTCATTAGTTAAATTTTTCAAAAAATTATGAGAGAATGATTTTGATTTTTAGCATTTTAATGACTCTAGAGCCAGTAGTACATGATGCGGTCTCAGTGCCTTTCTTGTGACTTGCTAGACTTTAGTTGGTACACTTTCAGCTTTCATCCTCAACTTAATCTTAAATCATTGGAAGTGGCTGTTCAGAATGTGTAAGGACCAGTACCGGTTACTCTAATAAGCGAAGAATATTCAATATCTCATCAATCGCCTCCCCTTTTTTAACTAACATGTAATAACTGTGTGGAAAATCCATGCCTGAACGATCTAATCACAATATTTATACTTATTTGGATGTTTTGACTAACTTTGAAATTATTATCCGTTTCTCTCCTACACTGGGAGTAAGACAAGCTGGCTGCCTGCCTACTATCTCCAATGATTAATTTTCTGATTGCAACAGACTGGATAATGCGACAGGCAGACAGTGGGCACCGAGGAAACAGGCATAAAATGGACCTACACAAAAATCTTGGAGGATTTGAACTTCGCCTATAACATATATATATATGTCTGATTTCCCACAAACGCTGGAAAATATGCAAGTGAAAAACAGCAAGTTGTCAGAAGAAGTATCAAAGACAGGACTTCAGGTGAACGTACAGAAAACAGAGGTAGGTGGTGAAGATTCCTGGCCAACGGCGACAGCAACAACAACAGACAACAATCAGCATGATCGGGAGAAATCTGAGAGAAGCAGGCTCCTTTAACTACCTACCTAGCTACCTGGGAAGCATCGTTTTAACTACAGAGAGACGGACATCAAAGCACGAGGACCAGGAAAGCAAGGCAAGCTTGCATTATTCTCAAGTCTGTGTGGAGATTAGCACTCAGCACTAAATATGAAAATAAGAGACAGATTTTCAACTCCAAAGTGAAGTCAGTGTTACTTGCTATACGGATCAGAGACTTGGCGTTGAGTCACGAAAGCCACTTCGAACAAACTACAGACCTTCATCGATCAACAGCTGTCTTCGCTCAATACTTCCCTCAAGATCAGATGATCGGCCAGGAAAGATCAGTAACAGTGACCTCTGGCAATGAGTGAACTAACCCAACAGTAACCTGCAACAAATAGGCAGGAAGAAATGTAGATGGATTGTCCATCCTCTGAGAAAACAAACCATCAAGTGAGTGACATTACACGCTGGACTACTGCTCAAGTGGAACCCGGCCAAATGGAAAGTGGTGAGTGGGTCTTCACTGCGAGGGTAAGATGAAGGAGGTGATGTGAAGAGGAGATTAAAGCCTGTGGGCAGACGTGTAACCAGGTGATGAAAATGTTGGCGGAGAAGCGAACGCAATGGAGACATGCAACTGAAGCCCTATTTTCCTCTAAGAACTAAAGGAAACAATAATAATAATAATAATAATTATAGTGTCTCCCAGACTGTAGATCATTGTACCGACATTTGCATATTTTCTGTTGTTTTACGATACGATTTTGTTTCAGTGAATGGAGGTCAATTCTTACTTTGAAATGCTTACGGAAATTTTTTGATGTGTGTGATTCTCGCTGACAGAGTTTTGATCCCACCTTGTTGGGAAAATTCTACTTGATTCTCAGGCGCTTCTTACAATTGTATTTTGGTTGACTAATTTTCTTCTATAAGTAACTTGCTTTGTACTTGGAAAGTGACCTTTTCTGTAGAGCTGTCTAACGGCACACACGCATATAGATTTATCGACAAACAATAACCTTTTTACTGTCCTTGGAGCCTTTTGTGACTGTGTACGTGACTCAAGAAAGTTTTGGACAGCTATAGAGTAAGACGTGAAGGTCAGTTTCCTACATTCACAGGTGAACAGATCGGTTTCAGTAGTTACACCATGTATAGTGATGTTGACTGCTTTTATTCCTCTCTCTGTTCCAAGTAGAACATAGGACTTCACTGTTGAGCTTCGAACTTTCAGTAGCTCCACAGCTACTGGTGTTTATGTTTTACTGGGTAGAATTACTGGCTTCACGTCACCCAACCTTCCCTCTTTACCAGACTTTCTACCGACTACGGAAAGTGTGGTTCTCTAAAATTCCAGCAACGTAAAGCAAGTATACTATCTGCGTCACTGTTCATATGGTTTAAGTATATACCAGAAGAGGAATAACGATGTCCATCCCTTTTTAATTCCACCGCCATCTGTCTTTTCCTGGTAGTAAATAAATTTCTAATTGATCAGAATTTTTTTTTGCTTCACGTTCCCAGTGGGACATAGGGCTTCAAGCTAGAAGGCTTTAAGTTTCTGTAGCAGTGGTGTTTATCTTTAAAGGATGGGATTGCTAGCCTTATGCCTAACCTTCTCTCTTTACTAGCTTTTTTATTACTGGCTTGGCGAGGTGAAGGAGTGCCTTGTCGGTGATGATGATCGAACCCCGGACCATGGGCATGGTCGGCGGGCGTGCTAACCGCTATGTCATCGACGCAGAATTAGAAATTATAAAATGGCGTGTCAGAAACTCGGCGTTCACATGATGAAAAGCATTTTTCACAGGCAAATCTAGACTTTTATTCACACAGATGCCCATTTCTCTGGCTTCATACTAAAGATAGGATGATTGATCGGTCAGAAAGAATTTGTGACAACAGAATCTGAGAGCGAACCACTTAAGAGTCTGTTGCTGAACAAGTATTCCGAAGAGACTCTGAGGAGACCGTCGGGTGACATCACACTGCAACCAGACCATCGCTTGAGTGGAACCAGAACTGACGGGGGTAATATAGACGTGATCGTTTGAGGAGGAGATGAGAGTCTATGAGCAACTGTATGTCTGTCTGTTTTCGACATAGAACTTTGCACCAATGTTCGGCAGTTCAAGTCGCCACACTCCCTCCATGTAGCACACAAAGCAACAGAAGAAAGTAGAACAAATGCATAATACAGACAGTAAACAGATGTGTGAGACGAGGGAATATTAATAACGAAGAAAAATGCAGTTTCACTGGAAATTATAAGTCACAAGGAGTGAATGCATCTGAACCAGCCATTGCGAACGATTTTGAGCCATATCACCAATTGCTTCCAACCATTGGTCATTACCGTCCTGAGGACCCCAACCAGTCAGGAAGTCGACACCTTCCTACGTGGCTTAGACTAACTGTTGTGGATTTGATTGACTGATGACATGTTTTTGTTTGACCTCCGCTAGCTCTTTTCCAGCCTGACCTTATGTCAGCTAACATTACCCATTGTCGAGGAAGGCGATGACTAGGCATACGTAACACATGTCCTAACCATCTCTCTTAGTCGATGTAGCTTCACAGCCTCGTCGATTGATTTCCCCTCCCACCTACCTAGCACTCAACGCCTAGCCCAAATATTGCTCATCTTATTATACCACTTCACACGGGAGATAGAGCGCAGGCACATATGATCAAAGACAGCTAATCTTTTCATGTCTTCCACTCTCAATGGGCAGGTGTCGCTCACAGCCATAAAGGTGGACGGAGCGGACTGATGAGCAGATATCACATCTATGCCAGGGACAGTGTGAACTGGCATATGCGAAACTAGCCCTCTGTATCCGTGCTGAGATTTCGTCAGAGATAAACCCGTTGGCATTGGCTGATGGTACTTCCCGAATAAGTGAGGGGGTCAACATGCTTTACCCCTTCACTCCCTATTTCTAATCTAGGAGTCGGTGTAGTCCAGTCTTGAAACATCATCTTACATTTGGCGGGGATGAATCACATGCCAAACATTCGTAGGTTGCAGCTCAAGGTGTTCAGAAGACTCTACTCTATTTTGTCAGCGTCCTTGCCCAGAAGGACTATATCACTGTCTACATATTCTATCTAAGTCAACGAGATTATTCCCTGGTGATAGCAAGTCAATCCCTGAATCTTTGATGAGAGTTAAGGTTAAGTCCATCAGTACATCAGTATGATGAAATTGAATAGAAATGGGGATAATAGGCATCCCTCGCTGTCGGACACCACTAGTTGTCACCAGTTCAGGTGACAACTCACCGTAAGCCCTCACCTGGCTGATTGCATGAGTTCGAGTAGAGTGAGTGCCTTAATCAGTGCAATGTATTTTCTAGGTATTCCCTTTACAGCCAAGCATTGCCAGAGTACCTCTCGGTCGATAGAATCGAATGCCGCCTTTAGGTCAAGGAATATAACCGTGGGGCCATATAAGGAGGACTACAGTACACAGGACAAAACAAAGACGTGTTGCATTCGGAACCCAAGGGAATAATAATAATAGTAACCAATGACAGGCAGCAATAGTTTTAAGGTTATATAAAATATTATATTAACGATAACAAACCTCTCGTTCAACATTAGACGACTCTGCAGCCGTATCTGCACTGTTCATTCGTCGAATAGATCGGCCACCACCTCCACCACCACCAGTATTGGTCTTGTCAGTTATTTCATCAGCATTACATAATAACAATCGTCTTGAACAACGATCACGATCATGATCTGAATAATTTATCTCTTTCAAAGTAGTAGTAGTACCTTTGACATTGACCTCCAAAGCAGTTGAACAAGTACTTGTAGTTGATGAAGTTGACGAGGAACTGAAACTATGATTATCATAATCTTTGTGATGATGATGATCGATATCATTTAAATCTGTGAATGACGAAGATGATGACGAGGCGGAAGACGTGTCCGACGATGATGATGTTGTCAAGAAATCTAAACAACCATGACTTGAAATCGATGAACTTCCATCACTTGGACTTCTACTATCACCTGCTTCTGTATCATTCATACTAGTTGAACGATTGTTATTATTATTATTATTTTGTCGGGATAATCGTCGATTATGCGAAGAAGAAGAAGAAATGTTTCTACTCTTTCTTCCATTATTTTCATTATCATCGTTATAAAGATAACAAGAACAATCAGAGAAGGATTCATTCCCATTCAAATTGTCACCATCGTCATCATCATTGTTGCCGTCACGAGGAGTGCATGGCAGTTGTTTATGGTGTTTTGATCTATGCTGACTAGTCGATTTATCTTCATGAGGGTGACGATGGCGACTATGATGCTTTTTATTATGATTTGATGATGTTCGTCCTCCTTTTCTTCTTGTATGATGTCTTCCAGTTGATCGACTTCTACAAGAAGAAGTAGTCGTACCGGTAGAAGTACCAGCAGCTACAGTTGAATTAGGCGCAGTTAAACCTCCACCTTCATTTTTATTCTTTAGTATGCCTTTTTCTGGTTGACGCCATGAATTCTCCATAATGATACTAAATTGTGTCTATAATTAGAGAAGAAGCATAATAATAATAATAATTAATGAATAGGGAGTACTTGCATTGAAAGAAGAACAAAGATGAAAAAGAATTTAACTGGTGGATGGTGACCAGCAGTGGAATCAAGCTAGGATGCGCATTTCGTCTTGTTTGGGACTCGTCAGCCACCTGGATGTACCTGCATTTCTCGGTGTGTGATGATGTTCCCATCGAGGCTCGAAGTCAGTGCTTATAGTTTCAAACGCCAAAGCGTTATCCACTAGACCACTTGGGTCACGAGTCTAAAACAAGACGAAATGAGCATCCTGTATTCCACTGCTAGTCACCATCCACCAGTTAAATTCTAATTAAAAGGCCCAGACATCGTCGAAGCATCTGCACAAGAAGCCGACATGCCAACCTGAGACCGAGCACTTCGGTCCAATCAATCGACGGGAAAATCTAAAATTCAATTGAATAATTAACATGACCCGTTGCACAAGAAGTGATGGTTCTTTAGCCTAAATGGTCTGGTGGATAACGCTTTGGCGTTTGAAACTATGGGCAATGGGTTAGAGTTTCGGTGGGAACATCATCACTCACCGGATGACGAGTCCCAAACAGGACGAAATGCGCATTCTGGATTTCACTGCCAGTCACCATCCACCAGTTAGAGAGAAACAAGATCTCGATCTTCATCAATAATGTTGTGTCAATCAGTGCTTTAACATGGTTCGCAGACTTGGTGTATGAGTCATTAAAAGCACTTTCAACGGCTTGATACAGTCTTTCATCAACAGCTATCCCCTTCGCTAGATGGTAGGGAAGATCAGACAGACGACTGACCGGGAAGAATTAGCAACAGGAAACCTTGGCAAGCAATGAACCAACCAATAATCTACTGATTAACAAATATTAAGGAGGGACCAGTCTAGAAAAAACAAATTTTTATCATCAATTATTAATAGGGTTGCATGTTTACAAGAAATACACATTTGGAGGATGCTTTTATTATTTGTGGTGATAATATGGATCTTGACGTGGTTGTGAACATCTCAGAAATCACTGCAAGACTCTTCAAACCATTTGGAAATGACGTCTCACACAAATCAACAAAATCACTTCAGCCAGCTGGCTCTAAGTCAACTAAAAGACTCAACACCGCATTGGTCAATGTGGACGTCTCCTTCGTCTTTGTATCCATGATCATAAACTAGCCGTCAAAAGATAAGACATCCACCCCTCATATCGCCTCACTACATACAGACAACCACGGACATCAATTCGACTGGGACAACGTTCAATTATTAGACAACAGAGGAAACACCAAGAATGCTAGAGAATTTTTAGAAGCCTGTCTGATATTCCTGTGAATCGTCAATCAATAGACACATCGAGATAGATGAAATTTATCAATCGATTATTATAAGGAAATCTCACACACAAAGGGTCAAAGTTGAAGTCAAAGAAACAATCAGTTCCAATACAAGTAGCTTAGAGGGTGTGCAAACAACCAACCACGTTCAAGGTGACCCACCAGGAGAGATGATTAATAAACTCGTGGAGAAATCTAAAAGCTCACTTCAACAAATTGAAGTATGTGCTGAAGATGTTGCCTAGTGGGTCAACGAAAGCTTCGCAAATTAACTATCCAACCCAGAGAACACAACCACATCGAGATCATCCACCTGAGCTACAAATCTTCTCCATAATATGGATCTCGTAAACCTACTCCAAACCTTCACTAATATCCACTCAAACATCGAAATCAATCTAGACAGTGAACAATTTTTCTGAGAGCGCTTTACAAGCGGACTTATGATAGGGTCCCAATGTACTCAGCACTATAACAGTAAATAAACTAGTACGTGGATGTCAAAGTGATCCAATGCGACAGCTTGTAAAACCAAAGAAAACTTCTGAACAGGTTCAAGTCACCCCTGTAAAGATTCTGTTGATGAATTTCGAATTTCAGAGTGAAAATAAAGCAGAAATTCCCCTTGAAGGGTTTTCAAAATCTCTCTCGCTGTCAGCCTACAAGTGACATTTTCTTGCAAGAAACTATTCAATAAGCACGTGAAAGACAAACTGTCATATACAGTGGGCCGCTTCAGCATGTGTACACCAGTTAATTTGCTCTTGTGGAGCCGAGTACATTTGGATTGTGCGTCCCCTTGTAAAATGCGGTAAGGAACATTATCCAGCTGGGCTGGCTGGTTGGCAAAGGGAGGACATAGGTGTGTGTATATATAGTTCATTAACAGAATATCAGGTGAACTCAGGGCATTCATCTCCATTCGAAAAGTTCTTCAAAGTCCCATACACAAGATACGATCAAACCTCGACCTCAAATGAAGTGAGATCAAGGCATCTGAGAAAAATAGCTGAGACACTGGAGGTTTCGAAGAAGGATGAATGGAAATGAATTAGATATAAGCTGAGGAGATAGTTGGGTGACGTCGCATACACCAAAACTTAACGTCGAGTGAGACCTAAGTGGGAGAAGATTGCCTGAGGGTGACATGGAGGAGACTGTGTCAAGAGGAGGTGAAAGTTTACGCGCAACCGTGGAACCTGCTAAAATGGATTGTAGAGAACAGAGTGAAGTGAAAATATGCTGTTGAGGCTGATATAGTCGATCGATATCCAGTCTAGAAATAAACCAATCAGAATTGCCCGACGTGAAATAACGCCCACTGCTTTATTGATCACGACTACAGACTAATTGATATATCCTCCTTGGTGATTTATGCGTTATTGTACAGATATACCGTTAATTTCATGTGCTGTTGCTTAAATAGTGCAGGGTGAGAGATCAGTTAGCTACTGTATACGTTGTTCACGTAACCAAGCGATACTCGTGATTACCACATCTGTCATCAGCTCAGAGTCATAACTTCAACTCAACGTTTTGCAGGATAATAAAAGAGGCCCTTCATCAGCAGCTGTCTTCTCTCAATACTACTGAAGATCAGGTCGCGGGCCAGAAAAGATCAGCAACAGGGATATCTGGCAATGAGCAAACCAACCAAGCAGGAACCAAATGGGCAACAAATATGCAGGAAGAAATGGAGGTGGATTAGCCATACGCTGAGGAAACAACCAAGTGACATCACTAGACAAGCCATTCCTCGAGTGGAACCCGAAAGGGAAGCGACGAGTTGGTCGTCAGTGCAAGGGTGGCATGAAGGAGGTCATGTGAAGAGGAGATGGAAGCATGTGGGCAGACTTAGAGCCAGGCGATGAAAATGTTAGCAAAGAACCGACCGGAATGGAGATGTGTGGCTGAAGCCCTATGTTCCTCTAGGAATTAAAGGAAATAATAATATTTTTGACTCAGAATCTACGCGACGACATCTTTCCCTCCCCCAACCCAACAAGTTTCCAGTTTCAATCTTCCAAACGTAAAGTGATCTATACAATTTCTACAAAATGTACTCTCTTTAAACATCTCAGTGGCCAAATGGTCTACAAAGTCGCCTTGTAACCATCCGCAGGTCCTGGATTCGACCCCCGGTAGGTGCAAACTCTTAATGTATCGGTAGTTCAGCTGTAAAATGCTCACCAACCACGCCTCATATGTGATTGGGAGTTTTATCCCAAGGCCGATTCACTCACTCCTAAAAACCTCGTCAAACTGGTAGTGAGTCCAATAGCAAAGAAGGAAGGTTGGGTGGCATGAGGCTGACAACTCTACCCCGTTAAAAAAACAGCAACATAAAACTTCAGAAGCTCAAGAGAAATGAATCCCAACATTCTACTGGGAATGTAAAGCAATAAAAATGAAGGGGGCGATTTCCTTACATCATTCATAACCTCCTTAGAAGTATCTGTTGAATTAGTCACTTGACCACCATCGGCAGTTAACATCTCCTTCTTTAATGTGTCAACAACACCTTCAGAAGCGGCGGCTAGAGCAGCGGCAGCATTTGCTCCAGCTCTTCCTGCACCAACCAATGCAGCTGTAGTAACACTGCACAACAATGAAGTTTGTTTTGGACTCGATGGAGTCTGTTGTTGGTGTTGCTGTTGTAAGGATAATGATAGCTCATCTGGTTTAAATCCTATAGGTGATGACAATAAAGGCAGTGGATCGGAGTAATTTGTCGGTGAGAATGGAAATAAAGGTGGTACAGTGGACGTATTGACTGGTTCATATAATAATGAAGATTTTTGATGATGAGTAGAACGTTTCGTTGGATCGATGTTAGGTGATGTAAATGTTGTTGCATTATTCGCATCGATTGGTATAATATCTAATTTGGATAGAGTACTGTTAGTTGTATTGATGAAATTTGATTCCACCGGTAGAGTTACAATCAGTGCAGTAGAATCTGATGGATATGAAGTCTTTTCACTAGTAGTATTCACAGGAGTAGATCGAAAGTCTATCGTCTGAGGAGGTGTTTCAGCCGATCGTTTCATCTGCTTTATTTTGTCCTCTCTAATAGCAGAAAATAGAAATGAGAAATATTTGAAACAATTGTAAACTATGTTATTATTAATAATAATAATAATAAAGTAGGTTGAGAAAATGACATTTACAACCTCATTGACTCTAGAAAAACAGGCCTTCAATAGCATCGACAGTGAAGTAGTTTGCAGACTGCTTCAGCACTGCGAAGTGCACTGTCATTGACTTTTATCAACAAATCACATCCAAGGTCACCCACCAGGAGAGATGATTAATAAACTCGTGGAGAAATCTAAAAGCTCACTTCAACACACTGAAGTATGCGCTGAAGATGTCGCCTAGTAGGGCGGGCAGTGAAAGCTTCGCAAATTAACTATCCAGCTCAGAGAACACAACCATAATCAAAAACTTTCATCAACCCCATACAAAGGAGTTATATGATAATGCTACACATCAAGTAATTCTAAACCGAAGACTCAACAAGGTATTTGAAGTGAAGAAAGGTGTACGACAAGACTGCCTGACTACTATCGCCCAAGATGATGCTCGCTAGTGACTACTGGCTACAGGACGGAGTTTCCTGGAGTGAGTTCTAGTGAGGAGTCGTGACCAGTAAGGTCCATGCAGATGTCACGTGTGAGGATGGATGTCCTACCGACTACAATGATTGGGGTTGCGCTAAATCACGAATTGGTAGAAGTTAGAATTCATGCACTACTAGCCATTGAATTGGGTCCCAGTAGCCGGATGGTATACGAGCTTGCTTGCCTTGTGACCAGAACGTCCTGGGTTCGAATCCTAGTGGTGGGTGCGTACTTCTGATGATTCCCAAACTAGGCTGATGAAACAGCAGCTGTCCAGTACTCCCTGGTTCTCTAACTGATATCACTCTATGATCAACCCGTAAAAACAAGATGGTATATCCTAATTGCGGTGATTTGGATGATGCGGAATTCTGAGCATGGAAGCGAGAAGAGAGGGATATTCTGGATCCACGAGAAGACACTGAACCATGTGAACCTCCTAGAGGATTTATGTATAATGTCACACAAGCGAAGACTAAAAAGTTAGTAAAAGAAGCAGTAAGGATAAGATTTCAATTGAACATCTAGAGAAGATAGAAATGATGAATATACTTAACCAACAACAACGACAACATCAAGCACCAATCACTTATCTAGGCAGCACTGTTTCAACTATAGCTGACTCCATGGACGAGAATGTCAAAGCTAGTCAGGATTAAAAAAGCGAGATAGAAATTCAATTAGTGGATGGTGGCTAGCAGTGGAATCCAGGATAAAGCGCATTTCGTACTATTTGGGACTCGTCAGCTGGATGTACCTGCATTTCTCAGTGAGTGATGATGTTCTCACCGAGGCTCGAACCCAGTGCCCATATTTTCAAACGCCAAAGAGTTATCCACTAGACCACTTGGGCCACGAGAGCCACCTCTTGTGCAACGGGTCATATTAATTATTGAATTGAACTGCACAAGAAGCCGACATGTCAACCTGAGACCGATCACTTCGGTCCAATCAATCGCAAGGGAAAATCAAGAATTCAATTCAATAAGAGACAGAAATTCATCATTCTAAAATCAACGCGAAAATTGGCTGAAATCATCATATAAACAACAAAATTCGGATCTTCAAAATTTTTTCCTTCACGTTCCCAGTGGAACATAGTGCCTCAAGCTAGAAGGCTTGAAGTTTCTGTCGCAGTGTTAATTTTTTACAGGATGTGGGGTTGCTAGTCTCATGCCCAACTTTTCCGCTTTACCAGTCTCACTACTGGCTTAGCGAGGTAAAGGAGTGCGTAGGTCGGAGATTGAATCCCGGACCATATGCATGGTCGGTGAACGTCCTAACCGCTGTGCCACCGACGCTCAACATTAATGTCAAATTAATCAGTGCTGCTATATGGTTCAGAGACTTAGCTAAGGCATCACTGTAGCCATTTTCAACAGCTACCTCCTCTTCATACTAAAGATCAGATGGTCGTCCAGAAAGGATCGGCAACTCTGGAAACAAACTCACGCTGCGCAGATGAATGAGTGACATCACGCGCCAGGCAAAGACTTGAGTGAAATCCGAATGGAAAACAACGAGGTGACTGTGGGTCAGAGGATGACATGAAGAAGACCGTGTGATGGTGAAAGCTTAGTGTTAGTGCATGCAGCTGTTTCGTCCTAGTTTAGGACTCATCGGAAGTATTCATCCACTCAATTATCAGGGATCGAACCCAGGAGCTTCCAGTTACTACAAGGCGAGATCTTAGACCATTCAGCCACGAGTAACCAACTGTTCAATGGCCCGCCCATAAATTTTAACTTCGATTAAATCGTGAATTTAGTGCGTGATAGGATGACTACGATTTTATCACTCCTTTTCCTTACCTTGTTCTTGGTCAAATCATCAACCAATCAGAATATTTTTTCGCGGACCTAGGCAAACTGCCTACCAATCAGAACAATCCATTTCAACTGCCCTGAACCTATTAAAAATCGTATCCCAACAGTCACAGGCCGATTTTTGTCTCTTGATATTTACGTGGCTCAATGAAGTCGAAGATACCATAGAGGAATAGGCGTATTTAGCATATCAGCTGAGATGTTCATTGAGTCAGTATTATGATACTCATAAAAAAATTCACTCTGTTATATCAACACGATCAGTTCAACTGGCGATATAGATCATTACAGAGCGACTGGTACCAACCACTGATGTCATCTGTAGCGAGTATTTGTTCTCACTCCTAACCTCGTTGCACTGGATCCCATCAACTGGTTATCACTTCTCACTAGAACTTACTCCGGTCAACTTAATCTTACAGATATTCCGTCAATCGGCAAGTTAACTGACTCAAATCAGTTAGAAAACCATCAGAAATCAAGGAGGATTGAAAACTTATTTCATCGTCCTAGCTTGGCACCCCTCTCAGTAAGCAGTACGTACCCATGTTCCTACAGGAGATAGAACCCAAAGAACTTCAGGTTACCAAAAAATTTCGTTGACTATTGAACTAAAAGAGAAAACGCTGTTACAGTGGATGAGGAAGAGGTTGGAACTCATAGGCACGTTGGATCCCATCCTGGAGACTCATCTTATGCTGTAACGATAGAAGAGAAGGGCCAGGCAACCGATTGTTTATTAAGAAAATCAAGAGAAATTTATAGATTTTCATGTGCATTATTATTGGTGTTATTATTAGCAGTGAGGCAAAGTCTTCTGATTGGTTGTTTTCTTGCTGAAGGCTATTCTGTTATCTCTTTGTGGCTGTTTCTCAGAAAGTTAAGCCATATATCTGCGAATCATATTTCCACATGTTAACTCTGCTGCGATTGGCTGATGATTTTCTCAAGGTTAAGCTTTGTTATTGTTTTTTTCTCATAACCCTGATTCGGGACGTGAACACTGATGTAAACTGTTGTCTACGATTTTGACTTGCAGCCAGCTCTTATCACAATACTACGAAGGCTTTATGTTCTATCCAAGGTGGTATGGATGCGTTTTGTGAGACAGTCAGCCCTAAATTGGAGCGGAGTATCTGTGGATTAATACTCCTGGGACTGATATCGATCCGCGATCAGATGCAGCTTGAAACATCTGAGATCAGCGCAGAAAATAAACGGAACTAATCAACGATTTTATTGATTTTAAGAATCCAAATTATGTAAAAAAAAACAGTCAAACGAGAGAAATAAGATTCTTTTTTAAACTTACTTATACGAAGGCATACTACCAAATTTAATAATTCTATCCATACTATTATTCAACTCATCAGTATTGTTAGTAGTAGTACCATTATTACATGTTAATTCAGTATCAGAGAAATTAACTCCATATTGATGATCTTCAAGCGATTGTTCCAACAGTCGTGTATCACTTCCAGGTGCACTACTTCGACTTGATGACTTATTATGCTTATTACGATTGATTTTCTTTTTACTGGAGGAAAATTCTGATTTCTTGGAATGACCATCATTACGATAATGTCTGCCACCGCAGCCAGCCCCGCCACCACTACTGCTACTGCGTCGATGTTTTCCACCACCGATGGCAATATCCCCCCCGCCACCAACACCTCCATCTGTATTCGAATAATCTGAGAAGTGATGACAGTCATCATCTCGACTACTACGACCACCGCCACTACCGCCGTTATTTCGACCTCGACGTCGTCGTGAACATTCGTCATCTGGATGATGACGATCTTGATGATGTGGGCGAGGACGACGACGTCCATGCTGACGATGCTGTTGCTGTTGTTGGTGGTGGTGTTCAGAGCCTTTATCACGACTGCTACAGCTCCCTGCACCTCCAGTAGATTTATCATATAATGAATTGCTTAATTCTTGACATTCTGTAGAATTATTACTATTACTATTACTGTTGAATAGACGGATTGATCCATTGTGTTTAGCAATTCTTGGTGACAAGAGGCCAGTAGTTCTTCGTTTACCACGATGAAATGTACAAAAATTTTTATGTGTAGTATTATTGCTATGATGATGGTAATAAGATTTGCCAAATATGCTTGAACGTCCACGACGCCTACAAAAAAAAGACAAAAACAAATATTGAACAATGAACAAAATGAAATAATGAAATGAAAGAAGAACGAAGTTTTTTTGCTATTATTATTATTATTTCTTTTAATTCCTAAAGGAACATAGGGCTTCAACTGCACGTCTCCACTTGCTTTTGTCTTCCTTCTGCTGTACTTTTCACCTGCATCCATGTCAGTTAGTCCATACTGTTTCAACTCATCTCTCTTCACACGATCTCCTCCATGTCACCCTTGCAATGATGTCCCAATCGCCGTTTCCCTTTCGGTCGGGTTCCACTCGAGCAATGGCCTGACGCTCGCGCGATGTCACCCAGCGGCCTCCTCAGCGAGTGTCCAATCCATCTCCACTTTCTCCTGCATATTCGTTGGTTGGCGGTTGGTTCTTGTTTTGTTTGTTCCCATAGTTTGGTGATTGTTGGTGATTCTTTCCGACCTGGCGATCTGATCTTCATTATAGAGCCAGCGAGGACAGTTGTTGATAAAGGTCTGCAACTGGCTGTTGGAAATATTCTTTGTGACCCCCCGCTAAGTTACTGATTCGTATAGAAGAACTGACTTGATGTTTGTATTGAAAATCCGACTGAATTTTGTTGTTGATGCTGAGTGACGAAGATAGGGTCGTCTTATTGAACCATGGTCTCTTCGACTCAGAGGTATGTTTAAAAATGCAAGCCGACTGCGACTTTCTTCCTCACATGTAAGACCTATATATGATTCTGTGCGGAGTTAAGTCTATCGCAGTAGACGAATTGTATCTTCATGCTTATCACATATCAAAATTAAATCGAGGGACAAGTTTTCAACAAAGGAGTGCGAATACATCAGTGATCTTGAAAGCATACTATTCGTTGGATAACTGGTAGGAAGGATCTACAATTATTTTAGGGCCATTATGCAGGAAACTGAGGTGCAGATTTCATTGCAATCTCATTTTTAATTAGTTTTTGGATAACAGGTTGATAGCTCGTCAGGGTTGCGATTAAGGATAGTAAGGATTGATCACTTTACTAGAATCCATACTGATTCAGTAGGGGCTGGGGGCTTTTTGAGAATCCTGGAAAACAGGATGAAAGCGATAAGTAGAGTGTGTTACATAAAAGGCACACATCTTCAGTCACTTTGATGAATGCATAGACAGTGACTAGTTTAACCTGTGAACTGATGCCCCTCATTATACCTGGGAGATGTTTTTAAATCCCATCGCGGGAAAAATATCCTGTTTAGCGTGTTTTATCATCACTATTCTCTGTACTTCTTCTGTAAATAAACGTCATTTTTATGTTAAACTAAGAACTCACCGGTCCCCCTGATTGGTTGCCTCAAGGTCAGTCGTGTGTTCCCATTCTACAGTAGTTGAATAATGCAGCCTCTAAGTGAATCACCAGGGTATCTAAATTTCTGGGAGAACTGGACAGCTGTTTCCCGTCCTACTTTAGGACTCCGCATCATTACGCACCCATCACTAGGGTTCGAACCCAGGACCTTCTGGGTACAAGGCAGGCAAGCTCGCAACATATCGCGACCACTTCGCAATGTCTTCTTCCGTGAGTAACCTTTCTAACGTCAACCTGCTGTACCCTACTGGTCACAGCTTCCCACTAGAACCCCATGTTAACTACCTGAATAGGGACAGTCGCTAGTGAGCATTGGATTAAATTTCAAGTATTGGTTGTTTTGTAGGAAATTTTTCGTTTAATTGGTTGGCGGATTTCACTTATGGGCTGATATCGGTTGACCGCTAGATTGGTGGGTCCCAGTGGTTGAATGGTCTTTAAGCTAGCTTGCTGGCCTTGTGTAACCAGGAGATTATGGGTTCGAACCGTGGCTGAAAAGTCTCAAACTAGGCTAACGAAACAGCTGGCTGTCCAGTACTTCCTCTGACAGGTTTTAAAATGATTGTCTAACCAAATGTCACATCATGATGAAATCCTCCAACCAGTGAAACAAAAAAATGGCTATGAAAGAATTCATCCTATTTCCTCTAATTCCTAGTTGTTTTAATAGCTAAATTATGTCCATGGAGTTGCATATTGTACTCTGGCATATTCTTAATCGGCCTTCTTCAAACTACTGGTGGACATTTGTTTGACAAAGACACACATGTGATAAAAGACTGATATGTATCCACATATATATATTTATGTGTGTGTGCATGTTGGTCTCTCTTTCTGTTTGCTCGGTTAGTCTGTGACCACTTCACTTGTATGGACTTGTCTCCTTTAATAATGTGTATTCTCCTTATATTATATTATATATAATATGAGTGTTTGTTGACAGTCCATTGCTTGGTGACATATATCCATATATGTTTGTTGGCATGTCTGCTATATTCGCTATGTATATTTGGATCGACACTCCATTATAATTAGCCATTCATGTTAAGACTGTCTAATGATTTTTCCCACGCTTGTCTGAATTATTTATATAAATTCGCATTCACAATTTGTGTGGACTACTTTACTTTACAACTACTTGACTTGCTTACCACTTTGGTGTGAGACCATTTATTTTCGTCTCCTTGTGTTTGGACAATAGAAGTATCATCGCAAACCTAGTGGTCTTCTGATTTCCGCCTTCTCGCGTCAGGACTATTAGTTTCTCGACCAGTCCATAACAATAATTCAGCGACGAGTACATAACAAAGACAGAGTTCAGAAGTTCCAGGTTTCAAACAAAATACAAACAGGCAAGATTGATGGTTGGATACGCTGAATATATATTGAGTTGCACAGTCATAAGACAAGAATAGGGAAGTTAATGATAACTAATAGTATAGTGAGTTTAAAAGTATATCTTAGATTCTCTGAATATATACCAAAAAGTTTACATCACAAGGGAACAAATGTTTTGAACAGTATGATTACCAGACATCTTGTTGATACAGGCCATCAGGTGAACAGCGTGAAATCCTTCGAGATAGACAATACAGTTCAACTCTCCTCGAATTTTTCAAAGTAATCGCTCGTTATTAAACGTTTAAAACCTGACTTATGTGTTCAGAAAGATCCCCTGATTAGTCTTTCTTTCCTGTGGTGACTCTACGTCGAATTTCTTCGTCTAAATTGAATAATCTTTTACTATCACATTCCTCTTTGTTTAAAAGAAAATCATGTTGAGTCACTGAAACTCTGAAAAAATTTCTATGTATAATTACTCAATCAATTATCAGGCTTTAATCAGCTGAAGAGAATCTGGTGACGAAATAAATGACAGCCTGACACTAATTATCCTGAACACAAACATTTAATTTCTATTTATTTCAAGCAATTTTATTACTACTCATAAAATAATGAGTAGTACGAAGCAGAAATCATAAAAAACGCCAACAGTGTTAATTGTGATATGTTAAATTATACAAAAGCGTCAGCTTAACCTACCTGTAAATAAACATGAATATTGCTAAAAATAAGAATATCCCGCCAACAACAACACCAAGGATACAAACTAAATACAATGTGTTCAACGGTGTTTTATGATTTCCATTTTCAACATCTATAGAGAGACAGAGAGAGGGAGGAAGAGAAAGATAAATGAGTAAGAAACGGAAATTACAATTACTCATATAATTCATAAAATAAAAACACGAACCAGAAAACGTAGAGAGTGTTTTGCACGTGTGTGTATGACTGTATGCAGTGGGATTGGACTTCTGAACAACTGCTTTGTTGATTTTCAAGCGTCAGTGTATAGTCGTTTAATCTGTTTCAAGTTTAACCATGCAAGAATTGATATCACTTAGAGAGCCGTTGAAAAAACCAATTAGGGAGTACTACTGGACAACTGTTTCGTTCTAGTTTCAAACTCCTCGACAGTTCCCGTGCATCTTCAGGGTTCGAATCCAGGAACTTCTGATCACAAGTCAAGTTCACTAATGACTGGTTACTCGATGAAGTTTCCTAGAGTTTTAGTGAGAAATCGTGATCAGTTGGTGGGGTAAATTAGGTCTGGCGTGAGGAAAAATACTCGCCGATAACAATGAATGATGGTCGCGGTAAAATTATCACTCTATGATTTTCATTAATTTGGTAATGTTTGTCGTAATCAGTGACACCGATTCAGTCGACGAAATCATAACCACTTCAGCGTGTTTTTTTAGTATATGCATTTGAGAAATAAGGGATATTGAATAGCCCTCACATTCTATTGAAAAACTCCCCAAAATATATTCATTAACTCTGAAAAGATCAAATCTAGGAAAGAGTCAGTCTCACAATATGCAAAATTATACATTTCGAGGTGGAAAATCATCTTGGAAATCACTTGAGGGATTTTTAACTGATTCACCTCTCTAAGAATAATCAATGAGGATACACTACTGATTAGTTTGGCCTCCAAAACAAGTGAAACGGTAGTCTGATTCGTAGATTGATTATATTGGACTAATATTTACTAATAATGACTCCAACTACTCATATCAATTTGTTAGTAGTATATACCTTCAAATGCAAAATAGCTAGGATTTCTTCTACCGTTCAGCATAGATCCATCACCAAAATTAACAACCCAATTTCTATTAGGCATCACCACCTTTAGTGGCTTTTCTCTGATCTTGAATAAGAAATAATACCCTTTTTTTAACAATGGGTGACTTTTTCTGGTGATCTAGATGAATAGGTTTCATGTCTGAGTACAAATAGCAGTCCACTCCAGAATCCGTCTTTTTCATCCCGTTTGGAAATCAGTGAATGATGCCGCTTGAAGAATAGGTGCAAAACACCATCATTTACTCACTCACTCACCCACACACTGGAGGAGGAGTGTGGGCACCTTCAGTTGATGAGTCCAAAATAGGATGAAACGTGCATCCTAATGAATTCAACACTATTAATAGTCATCATCCACCCATATAAATACACGAAATGAAATTGAATTCAGTTCATGCATACAATATATATATATGTTTATTATTCTTGTTTTATTAACAAAAACTTAGAAAAGATTAACTTAAACTTAAAAAAACGCTGGGATAATTTTATTCTCAAAGTTGAATTATTCACCAAAATACTAATAAATAAAAATTAATTACCCAGTAAACAGTAATTCACTCCATTTCCCTGAGGTTATTTTTATGAATGTTTATGGGAAAAGTGAATAGTTGGTACGTGTTTTCTCACCCCGTACCACAACAACCGTTTCACATCCCAACATTTCTAAGCTTCAAACACCCAATCTCTGAACACCACCACTACCAGCGCCTACCATCCTCTTCTCTACCATAGTTTTCCCATATTTCTTAGCTTTCATTTCGTGAATACAGATAAAATCGAACAATCCAGAGTTGCTTTTTTTTATTTCTCATAGACAGCGACCAACATATGACTAGTAACCTCATTTTTAACCCCTAGCCAGCAGCTGTCTGTACAACCAAAATATTAATATGCCAAGGTTATTTATTAATACTATTGTTATTTTAAACGCACACTAGACACCTAGTGTGTGTGTCTGTGTGTCTAAAAGATAGACAGACATGCAGATAGACAGGTGGTACGAAAACACACGGACTAAGTGCGTACGCCCACATATAGATAGACACACAGACACGCACGCACACGCAGAAGCGCGTGGACAGACATGCAAAACATCGTAGACAGACAGGCATAATAGTTAAAACATTTTTTGTTGAATGAATATTTCATCATTTTCCCATGAAATTTTTCTGTTTAAGAATAATTAATCTTTTTTGAAAAAAAACCAAGGGAAAAAACAGACATACTCTTTTTGGTCAGAAGAAAGCATTTTCTCACAGTAGAATTCATCAGAGTTTTTGTGAGAAATCTCTGGGACAACTGTCGTTGTCTGTTGACATTTATTTCATCAAATTTGTATTTTATTAATGCTTGGTGAGAAATACTTGGTATCTTATTGGCATGATTTAAAATTGGTAAACATTCATCCTCCTTGGGACTCATCAACTGGATATAACTACATTCCCGAGTGAGTTACGGTGCATTCCTACTAGGGCTCGAAATCAGTATCCATCGTTTCAAAATCTAAAGTGCGTTATCCACTAGATTACTTGGGCCAAGAGGTAACGCTTTGACATTGGAAATATTGGGTAGTGGGTTCGAGCCCGAGTAAGGGGGGACACCATCACTGACTGGCTGGGGAATGAAGATACATCCACCGGTCGACATGTTCCAAATAAAATGAAATGCGCATCCTGGATTTCACTGAAGTTAGTCACCATTCACCAGTTTACATCATCAAACCATCTGCACAAGAAGCCGACATGTCAATCTGACATCGAGCACTTCAATCCAGTCAATCAATAAGAAAGCTCATATTGAATTAAACTTATTGGTATGTTGGCAGAATATAATGGATTCTGTGACAGTGTCACAGTGGGGTGTAACCAGCCGAATGCTTTCTAATCACGCCTCACGTGACCCGCGGTTTCGATTCCTGGACGAGGTAATCTTAAGCCTTTCTTAGCTCATAGTGTAACAACAGAAGACAAGAGCCGGCAACAGATCCTTTTATTACGGAAATCAACACGTATTTTTATATATTTCCTGTACATTATTATAGCTTATTCAAGTAGACAAATGCAGTATTCTGATTGGTTGTTTCGAGTAACCTCGGAAAGTGGATCCATCTGTCTGAGAATCATATTTGCCCACGTTAAGTCTGCTGTGATTGGTTGTTGAATCAGCCTTGTTCATTTTTTCTCATGGCCAATATTAGTGACCTAGACACTGACGTAGATTAATGTCTACAATAGTAGTGAGTGGTGAGAGCTGTCTGCTAGCCAAAACTGTAGTCACCAATTTACGTCAATGTCACGCGACAGAACAATAACACAGCCTAACCTTAAGGAACTCAAAAACCAACCACATCAGACTTAACGTGGGCGGATACGACTCGTAGATATATATATGGTATGACCTTCAAAGAAACGGCAACAAAGAGATGACAGAGAATAACCTTCAGCAAGAAAACAACCAATCAGAAGACGTTGCTTCTCTGCTAACAAAATAAATATCTATTGATTTTCTCAATAAACAATCTGTTTGTTGCCTGGCTCTTGTCTTCTGTTGTTACAGTAGTAGTCAGCCTATCAAAGAGTGACGATTGAGTAAGAATAGTGTAACGATGGAATAATCGTTTGAAAAATCCCTCCTGTAAACGATTTAATTACAATATTGATATTCACTTAGATGTTCCTAACTAACTTGATAACTGTTGGTATTAGGTGGTTGGAGGCAATCGGCCACAGGAAGCCTTGCCTAGACCTAGGTTTCATGGTAGTTGGCACTTCCCGGTCACTTAGTAAGGCGTATCTGCAGTCAACTAGATGTAAACTCATATCCCTTCTGAGATTAGAACCCTCGTCACCCAGTGCTACAGTCAGAGACGTTACCACTGAGCTACTCAGCCTCGCGATTGACGTCCTAGTCAGTAACTAGTGACTAGTGTCCAATCAAAAATAACTTGGTAACTATTATTATTATTATTACTATGAGTTTTTCTCCTAGACTGTATATATCATTGTTTTAACATTTGGATAATATATGTTGATTCGATCCTTATTATTTGTAAGATGAATCACGTGGGGCTAAATGACCTGACTCTCTAACAGGTGATCACAAATAGACGACTTTGCAGTTCTACGTTCGCCTTTCATTAACCAAACCGATAGTGTGTTCAGCTACACGTTTTCGGAGATTACGCTTACAACGTCCAATATAATCAGCTGAACACGAGGAGCAGGTAAATGAGTAAATGCACATAGATGTGGACAAAAGTGGTAGTCTATCCTTGACGCATTGTCTAATCATATTTCGGCTGGTAAAAACTAGTTGCAGGTCAGCTGCAGGAAAAGTACGTTTAGCACATTTAGATAAACGATTTTTAATCAATTCTGAAATGGTGTCACCTTTGAATGCAAGACTCATAAACAGCTTTTTCTTTGGTACTGTGACTCTTTTACTTGCTATTGTGGAGCTGTTTATATTGGACGTTGTAAACGTAATCTCCGAAAACGTGTAGCTGAACACACTATCCGGTTTGGCTAATGAAAGGCGAACGTAGAACTGCAAAGTCGTCTATTTGTGATCACCTGTGAGAGTCTGGTCATTTAGCCCCACGTGATTCATCTTACAAAGTTATATACATGGCAAAATCCAATCGATCCAAAAGTTTACGTTTTCTTCACTTATGCATAGCTAGCCGAAGCTTTAGCTATACATGAGCAGAAACCTAAATTATGTGTTCAAAAGCGTTTTGTCAAACCACTTTCTTTACATTGGTCATAGTAGTGTTCTTTCTAGTTTTTATTTTATTTTACCACTTGAATTCTTTCCACTTCATTTCACATCTTCATTCTTATCGTAATCGTACTTCTAATTTTCAAAATTTTTAGACAACACTTGACATTTTTGTTATAGAACAATCTTTAATATTTTTGTAATTTATCCACTTCAACTCTACCCCTTATAACTTTTATCACATATATACGTACATTGACTGAGCAATTATTTGGAGCCACTTAATAACCACCTTTTTCTGTAATATAAATACGACTGTACAGCTTGAAAATGAAGTCGTTGAAAAGAAATTTCTTCACTGAACATAAAAAACTGTGTTTTTACTTATGAATAAATGGGTATTTTTCGAGACTTATTATTTGTCTCCGCCCCTCCCTGTTTATTCTCTAACATTAATGCTTCTCGTTGTAATTGTGCAACACATTGATAATGTGTTCTTCTATGAATGTGATTTCGTTTGGGTGAAACAAGGTCATACCGACATTCGTCTGTCTTCGGGAATTGTTAGTGTGTATGTGTGTAGTTCTTGTGAGAGTTTTTGATCCTACCATGTCGGGAATTTTCTACTCGATTTTCTCAGGTACTTCTTTTGTAATAAGACTGAACTGTTTAGCTACGTAGGGACATTTTGTTGAGGTAATTTTGAGTTTATACATACAATAAGGACGCAGAGATCGACTTAATGTGCTAAAACCACAAAGAGTTGATTCCGCTCGTAACAATGGATCTTCAACAGCTAATGTCTAGTCATTAAATGCTTCTATATGACTGATAAGCCTAGTGAGAGTGTCATGGAAAGCATTTTCAACAGGCTACTGCAGACTCGCATCAACACCTGCCCACTTTACTACGTACTGCAAATCAGATGGCCTGAAAGGATAAGCACCAAATAACTACAGCAAGGAACAAGTCAAGAATCTATTACCCATCCAAAAAACACTCAGAAAGAAGTGGAGATGGATTAGGAATATACACTGAAGAAACCACTGAATGACACACTTTCTCGAGTGTAACTCGAATACCAAAAAAAAGAAGAGTTTAGCATCAGTCCAAGAGTGACATGAAGGAGGAGACCATGTAAGGGGGAAATGAAAGCCGACTGGCAATTCTGGAGTCAGCTTAAACTGACTGCGGAGAACAGGATGAAATGGCGATGTGTTTTGGAAGTCCTATGTTCTACTCGGAACTCAAGGGAATAATAATAATAATAACAGAAAAATGTAATAAGATTGGGGGCACGTATTGCGCATGCTAGAGACGCCTGCTCCTCATCTACCATAATGTCAGCAGACATCAATTGGAAAAGGTTGGAAAAGAGTTGGAGGCAGTCGAATCAAAACATGGTACCATCATCAATCCATGAGGTACTTGACATGTTTGACTGGACACTAATCAATAACTAGTAATAAATAATGTGTCTAGTCCAATTTTCGATGCAGACTGAATTCTACTAGTCAGTCAGGTTGGCAATGTAGCCGCCATGCCAGTAGGTGGTCCACCATCACAGTGCACAGTGAATTGGCAGTATTTGACAACTGATTGATCATTGCATTCTACCGTATAGCTTGCCTAGCCAGAACTGCTACGAGTTACTCACATTCACAAAATTTCTTTTGACTACACCTAAAATTCCACACCGTATTTTTGGTACAAGTATGGAATTTCAGCATGTCATATCGGTAGCCCAAATTTTGCAGGTGTGCGTCGATAAGGAATCGAACCTCGGACCATGTGTGTATGGTCGGCGAGAGTCCTAACCATTGTGCCACAGACGACAGCTAATTAGTTTTTATTCCCAGTGTAACAAAGGGCTAAAAGATAGAGCTTTGAAGTTTCGGTAACAGTAATATTTATTTTTACGGGATTAGGAAGCTAGCGTCATACCCAACCTTACCTCTTTACCAGTTTCATTAATGGCTTACCGAGGTAAAGGAGTGCATTGGCGGCCGGGGACCGAAACCCGGAGACCACGGAAGGCGTGGTTGGTAAGCATTCTCGACCAATGTGCCACCGACGCCTTAATACATACTGGATAAAGCAGGTGGCGCCACTTTAAAAAAAATGGAATATGCCACACAATCTCCCGAAAATCACACAGAAGCCAAGTTGTTTTACATGCAGTGTCAAACACTCTCTCACACACACACATACATATATAATATAAACCTACTCTGTCTTTTCATTTGATAATCTCGAGGATTTGTATACGGTTGTTGCATTTGTTCTAAATAATTCCAAATCCACTGAATAACTTCTGGATTCAATGGATTATTCCTTGTCATCATAGAAGGGATTGATGATTGGCTACTGGAAGAAGATGTAGTATTCTTTTCTTTATTATTTGTGTGAATAGGCGTCGATTGACTCGAATTGACAACTTCTGTTTCACAAGCATTACCATTCCATTGAGGATGACATAAACAGAAACCAGCACTTGTACACAACTGAAATAATAATAATAATAAGAATAATACTAACAATTATATAAACGGGAAATTGAAGGATATCATCAATGAGTTTGATATGTATTACTGATATGTCGATGATACATTTTATCTTAGCTGATGGGAATGTTAATATAGACGAATTGTTGCTGAAATTCAACAACATCCACCCACTTCGCTTACCTTTACTTGTGAAGAGGAGCAGGTGAATAAACTGCATTTTCTGGATGTCTTGTTAAGTAGGAGAGAAGATGGGCCACTTAGGAGAAGTGTGTATAGAAAAAGCACATTTACAAGGCAATACGCACACAGCTCCTTAGTTATGTGCCCATTAAATATAAAAGGAATGTTGTTACATGTCTTGCGAGCACAGCAAGAGAGATAGTTTACGGATGACCTCTTTTACAAAAGGAATTTGAATATATTCACGATTCCTTGAGTGAGATGGACTATCCAAATAGTTTCATAAAGAAACATATGAAAACATCAGAGAAGAAACCTGTGACTCTGACTGCACATAAGAAACCTCTATTTATTAAGTTACAATTTAATGGGGACTTATCAAGTGAGATTCTATTCCAAAGACTTTCAAAGAGTATACGTAAAACATTTTACACAGCACACCTATGTTTGTCATTCTCTAGGCGACGAATGATTGGGACGCAAACGAAGGATACGTTTGATAGTTTTGCCACATCTATGTGTATTTATCAATTCAACTGCACCTGCGGTAACAGTTATATTGGGTGTACTATTAGACAACTTAGCCAACCAACGTGCCACTGAACATCTCCCATCGTGGTTTGGCAAAGAACAGACAAAAACAATCCGTGGCTGAATTTTGTCACATTTAGTTAGTTGTTAGTGGTCATGTAGTGGAGAAAACGAGAGCTTTGAACGTAATTCGTCGTATCCCACCGAATCTTTCTAATAGACTTCGTATTCGTCTACTTCACACAGCTGAGGCGATAAACATTCAAACTATTAAAAAAAAACTACGAAAAAATTCGTACAGCCATTATCCCTCCCTTATTGGCCTATTAAGACATAACCAACTAATGACTTCTACACCACCATACTCTTGTTTATATTTTCAACCCCTCCATTCTTATCATCCCTTAATCTTATCACATGTTCATTAAAAACGTGTCTCATTTACGTTCCTTACAATCTAAGATTGCTTAATCGGTTCATTTGTTTTTGCTAGCCTTTATCGACTACTTCCACCTGTTGTTTGTTTAATCATGCTGTTTTTTTAATTATTCGTGTTATCACAGATTGCCTCACTTTTTCATCCTTATTATTGATAAAACCGATATTATTTTTATCATTATGACTAATTGTATAATTTACATTCACCATCGTATTATCCTATAGACATTGAGAAGACAAATTTCGCGAGCTGACATCGTCATTTCGCAGTTTCTTTACTACCACTTTACAATTAACATGGTTAACAATGATAAAATAAAGATCATGACAATTACTCAGTTAAATAAAATAAAAACAAAAGTACATACTAATGATCAAACATATTAAGATAGGTCATGTAGTCCAGGGTAGGCGAAGATTGAAGTCTATTGATTTTTATACACACAGTTTAGGCTGTATGCGATTAATCTGCCAAAGTGCTCCCATCACCTTCAATAATCTTGAATTAGAGTTATGTGAAATAATTGTGAAACAGTCGTTAGTATTGATTTTGTGACCTGACAATAATAAGTGTTTTGCAATGGATGATGCTGGATTTCTATTCAGATTAATCGCGTTAGGATTTTCGATATGATTTACTAGCCATTTTGGAACATGTTCTTTTCGACGATGACATTGGAACATTCTGTTAGTTCTACCTATATAGGTGTCACCGCAGCTGCAGGTGAACTTGTAGATACAGTTTGAAGTAGAGTCCACAGAATTTCGTCCTTTAATCGTAGGTAGCTACAGGGATCGAAAATGTTCGGCAAGTGAGAAAAAGAGATGTGGTGGCGTAGAATGTGCGTTTGATGGCTCACCGAAATCTTTGAGCTAGCTGTCAACTGCATAATCTGGTCGCCCTTGAATGGTAGGTTAATAAAGATATCTAGCTTTCTTTGGTACAGAAGCTGTTTTTTTCAAGATGTGGTCTATCCTTACCGTGACAATTGATGAAGTTTTCTGGATAACCATTGGCTAATAAGACTGAATGTATATGTCGAAGCTCATCCATCAATGTGTCACTCGTGCACATTTTTCGAGCCCTTGAGAACAAACATTTCACTAGTGGGGAACATTTATACTGGATAGGAACAAAACTGGCAAAGTGAAGATATTGTCCACTCCAAGTCTGTTTACGAAAAATAGAGCGCTGAATCGTTCCATCATTTCTTCTAGTCATAGTAATATCCAGGAAACCGAGTTTGTTATCGGATTCTGGTTCGGAAGTCACTCGAATATTTGGATGAATATGGTATATATATATATATTAGAGTTCAGCCTGATGAGATCTAATTGAAAGCACAATATTGTTCGCTTAAATGTGCTGTTCTAAATTTTACTATGGGAATATTTAATAAACTATATTAATTACCGATAATAGAAAAAAGCAGTTCTAATGAATTTCTGATTTATCTCTATCCTTCAAGTGTCAGTTGGCAGGGATTTGATTTGAGTGGTTATACAAGATTTCATCAACGATGACCTGACATCAGTTAGAGAATCCCATTGGAGAACCAACCAAGGAGTACTGGAAAACTTACTGTTACGTCACAGTTGCATGGCACTCTTCAATAGTACGCATGCACTAACAACAGGGTTGCAGCAGGTTGTCAGGTGTCAGGACAAATACTCGCCACGGATGACATTGATATCTGGTGCTAGTTGCACAAAAATGATAAATTCGTAGAAGTAAAAATTCATGAATTGGCCATTGAGTCAGTCAGGTCCCAGTGGCTGAATGGACTACAAGCTGGCCCTGCAACTAAACGGTCCTGGATTGGAACCACAGTGGCGGATGCGTACTGATGAAGATTCCCAAACTATGGCGAAACACCTATTCAGTGACCCGCTAACTGATAGACTCGTGTGCTAGTGCTAAGCATAGCTCTGAAACATGGCCAATACGCGTTGAAGACATGAAAAGGTTGACTGCTTTCGATCATAGATGTCTGCGATCTCTGTCTCACGTTAGGTGGTATAATAAGGTAAGTAATGTTGACGTTAGGCATAGAGTGTTGGGCGAAGGGGGAAAATCAATCGACGAGGCTATAAAGTTACATAGATTGAGATGGCTAGGTCAGGTGGTGCGCATGCCTAACCATCGCCTCCCCCGACGGGCATTACTAGCTGATATAGATAGTTGGAGGTTGGAAAAGAGTAAGTGGTGGCCAAACAAAAATGTGACATCAATCCATGAAATCCTTGACAGTTAAATTGAGTCAGGTAGGGAGGGAGATGCAGACTTCCGGGTTGGGGCCCTCGGGACTGACTCTAGGAATCAATGGCTGAAGACAATAGGTGACATGGCTCAAAATCGTTGTCAATGGCCAGCTCAGATGTATTCAGTCTCTGTAATCTTTCATATTCCTATCTACCATTACCTATTCTGTTTCACTCTTATACTTGTCAAACTCTATTGATTCTCTTCACTCATCTTCTTGTCTACTTTTGTGTGCTATTTGGAAGGTGGCAACTCGAACTGGTGCACTTCGGTGCCAATTTCTATGTTGAATCCAGACAGACAGACTAAGAATAGCTTATTCTGTCATTACAAATTTTTGACAGGTCATTTCTTATCTAAGTATATGCGCGCATGCATGTGCCCAGATGTGTTAGATAACTGACATCTAACTCACATCTACGGTCATATTTTACATTGTGACATCAGTGACATTCAGTTCATGTCATTAATCATTTATCTGTGTTATGCATGTCGCATCTTTCATGTAAATTTCATGTTTTGGTATACAGGTCTCATTTAATCATTCATTTAATTAAATTAATTAGATAATTCATGATGAGTCAGTCTAAACGAGAATCAGTTCACCCCGTGTTAATTATGCTTTTCTACATGTAAAAACGCAATCAGACAGATGGGGGCTGTCAGTGTTTTCGTTAGCCAATATGCGACACAGAAATTCGAATTTTACAAATGATTTCATCTGTCTATCTATCTATGCATCTATCCATCCATCCATATGCACCCACCCACCCACCAACCAGACATCGAAATGACATCATCCGGAGTTTGTATCTCTAGTGTCTGTGTGCGAGTGTGTGGTGTGTTCGTGTGTGTGTTGAGAGCGACAGAAAGAACATTTTCACCACTTGTATGCAAATAAGTACAACCTGGACCGCATTCATCTACTAAAAAGTACAAAGTGTTACATGTGTGGGGACGTTGAAAAACATGAAAAATTGACTCAACTAAACCACCTCCAGGGGTCATTGGTTAATTAGAAATAATAATACTAATAATACCGATGGTAATCAATGCAGACTGTCATTCATCACTCTCTAGCAAGTATTACGCAATACTATAAAGAGAAATGAATTCTGTTCATTAGTCTGTGTGAAATGTCTGAAAAAGTCTAGGTGTTTTTGTGTGTGTGAGAGAGAGAGAGTGAAGTGATTAAATTTGTCTATTTTAGAAACTAAATTTTACAATTCGCAATCTACACAAAGTTCGAGGGAGGGGTGGAATTTTCACCACAGTTTCTGCTTTGGAGAGCAAATTTATATCAGATCACCATAGCATGAATGCTAACCAAGAAAGCAGACATAATTGCATAAAATGAACATACTACTGATTAGGTAAGTGAGTGAAATGAGTAGTAGGTGCATACTTCTCACATCAATGATGAGTAGCGTCTTCCAACCAAACAGATCGGAGTGATTTATACACCATAGGATGGCCATTTCACTTTTCTAGGACTGAGCCACTCATCAGCGGTGGTGTACCCGGATCAACTCAGTTTAGAGAGCCGAGTCAGTTACAATCACTCGATTTCTTCCTGGCTAGCTAG